CAGTTGACCAGCGATGTCTACCCGAACGAAGGATAAGTTACGTGAGTTGGCCTCCTCTATGTGCATTTACAAATTCAGCTGCTCCTGTGGAGATAGCTATATCGGGCATACTATCAGGCAACTTACACAACGAATGAGTGAACATCTCCCAGCATGTTTTAAGAAGGGTCAGTCAAAAACAATACACAGTTCTATCTTAGCACACCTGGTAGATAGTGGTCACATTGTAGATAAATCTAGATCTTTTCGGGTGATCTATCGTATACCTCCATCATTTCCCAACGGAGTTCGATCCCGTCTCCTACACATTACAGAAGCCATAGGAATACGTACATTCAACCCCAATTCAGAAGAAATTCGTGACACCCCTATCTCTTCCGTGGCCGGATATGACGTAACTAACGATTAACATTATATATATTTTATTTATTTTAATTTTATTATTTTTACTATTTTTACACATCTGCTTATTACGTAATTTTTTTGATGTTTTGATGATTATTTGAATTCTATTCATCCACCATTGACCTCCTTCAGCTATCATATTTTATAAGTTTTCCTACTACAATCGGTCCATCTATCTTCCTATTATCCACTTGTACTTTTACCTCTTTCATTTCATTGTGATTATCACTCAAATTGCTTTGATTGGTATTAACATTTTCATATAAATATTCATGTATATTAGAGAGTAAAGCCTGATGACGATCTAATCGAAAACAATATTGTTCGCTTATATGTGTTGTTCTTATTTTCTCAATGGGAATCTTTAATATTCTTAAATCATTTGAATCCCAATTAAATTGTATGAATATGAAATATATCATATTAGCTGTATAATATGAAATGCTTCTATTCATTCAACATTATCTACCACCATTCATAACCATTTAACCTTATAACAATAAAGCAAACTTGGATAATACATCATTCGACCAACATTGTATAGAGACTAGACAGTGTTTGGTAGTGTTTACCATTCAAAGAAAGACCGAAGAAGCTTCGACAGATTACATGATGTCTCAAACTCAGACAGACAACAATGTAACGCAAGATCGAATGGTAGGTGAAGTGTACATGTGATCATAGGAACAACAAAGTCACTATCCACAATTTCTAAATGAGCCATTCCAATGATATATATATATATATATATATATATATATATATATATATTCATGACATATGCACAATAGTTATCTATCCTTTGATATTACAGAATTAAATGTGCATGTGACCGATTTACTCTGCATTAACTAGTGTAGTGAACGAGAACACAGGTGGGGCAACCGAATTGTATTTAACGAAAATTACAGAGTTACTCAGTAAAATCGCAAAAACCATATCGTAAATCGTTCATTTGCAAAATATCAGTTCATCATATCGAACTGGACTGTTCCTGCTGCAAAACATCAATCCAATGTCACTGTTCATGCGTTTCATACAAATTCCATTGTTTTCTAACTCTTCCTTTCTTGATCTTCCCCCATATTATGCTGCCAGACATTACGTTGACACTCACGTCATATACTACTTATAAGTAGCTCACATCACACTAGTACAGGATAATAATAACTTGTCCTTAATAATGATTTCATAACAATAATCAACTTCATTAAGAAGGTGAAGTTTAACAGTGAATAATGATGCTCAATTATTTAAGGATCAAATGAATAACTTCCGTGTTATTTTACAAAATACTGGAAATTGTTTTTTTTATGAAGTACATCAGAGCATGAAACACTCACTAATGACCGAATAACCTCAAAATACATGGAGTTTTCATAAAATTAATCAAAATTATAATATAGTTGTTAATAAATCTTGACAATTCAATTCAAATGTTCATACGGAGTCGGTGTATGTCAGAGGTTGTTGAACTGGGTAGAAAAATGCATAATAATAACTGATTCCTTTCAAGTTTCTTGTAATCATTTCCAATACATAGACGATTGTTTCGATAAATATTAAGAAAACTCTTGAAACTGATCAGTGAAAATTGATGTGTATGTGCAGTATTTGAACTCGTTTTTTTCAAATTTTTAAAACAGGGTTTTTTAAAATCTTCACAGCGATTTTTAAAATTTTTTTGAAAAAATAAAAGGACTACTACTATTTTTTAATTAAAGCCTTCTTTAGCAATCACTTTTAAACAATTACGACGTATATGCCTCGAAACACCTCGTAAACAAATCATTTGTGGTTAATTGATTTACAGAATTTAATATAAGATTTGTAAATGATTCATGAAATCCGTTTGCCAGTGATCTTCTTATATACAATGGATTGAATTTTTGAAAATGCAAATTCAATTAGATTAAGCATATAACTAACTAACTAACTACCTGTAAGGGGACAAAAACATAAACCTTTACTGCCTTTTCATCAAAAAAATTGTTTGGTAATATTAGAGTAATGGATCTTTGCATTAATTATATCAAGGATAAAAATGCAATTCTTAAAAAAACTGAATTTTTGATTGTATTTTTCAAATAACAGATCAAAAAATAGTGAATGAACTTGTCGGAGTTCACTGAACCAACAAACGTTTGAGCAAAAAGTACTGGATTTTCTGTTATTGCGGATATTATCAAACTTACATTAGTTCCACATGTTGACGGAACCATGGCACTTGCTGGTTTTCCTCTTGTATATAGATCTTCTCAAATACAAATTAAAGGATGATTCATCAATAAAAAATCTTATGAAGGAGTCTTTGATATTCATAAAATCTTGGACATCTGTCGTTTAATTTTACTTGATTCTGAGTTGATATTAATCGATGTACATAAGAAACCTTTTTTAAAGTATAATTTGAAGTCTATAAATTATTCTTCTTATATATGGATTCAAGGGATAGGTTTATATAAAGAAAACATGTTTTCTATTTTATTTTCTCGAATTTGTACCATTATTATTAATGGGTTTAATTCTATTGATTCTTCAACAAAGTTGAGAATCCCCTCATTGATTTTCTTATTTGATTGTTTTCCTATTTTTTTCTCTTCAACTCTTGATTCATTTTTATATAAATATAACCTTATAACATTTGCAACTACCTGGTAATTCACATCCACAAGAAATGCCGCATCTTCAATAACTTTTTGTATGAGGTTTTTTCATTTGAAATCAAATTGTTTTTCTTCTTCATTTCTGACATTTGAAGGATTATATATTTCCTAACGACAGCATTGCTTACTCGGTTGTCCCAAAATATACGAGCAATACTTCTTAAACATCTATGATCGAATACTAGTAACCTACGAACATCTTCTACTCTCACTGGCCATGTTTCACAGCCATATAGGAGAACGGAGCGAACTGCTGCGCAGTACACCCATCCTTTAGTCAGCAAACGGATATCTTGCCTGCGCCATAAGTGACGCAGGTTGGCAAAAGCCAATCTAGCCTTCTGTATCCGAGCTGAGATTTTGTCAGTCACCTTGACCATCAGCACTGATGAGACTACCCAGATAAATGAAGCGGTCTACACGCTCGACTACTTCACTCCCTATCACCAGTTCAGCTGCCGATGAAACCCAATCTTGAAGCAACATTTTGCATTTCGAGGGTGAGAACCGCATCCCCAACATGCTCGCATTGTTGCTTATGGTAGTCAGAAGACTTTGCATTTTGACAGCGTCTTCACTGAATGTAACTGTCATCGGCATATTCTAGATCAGTAAGCGATTTTCCTGGTAGAAGGTGAACCCCTGAAAAATCTGACGAGCTTAATGTTAACTCTAAGAGGATGTCTACAACAAAGTTGAACAAGAATGGAGAGAGTGGACAGCCCTGACGGATACCACTTGAAGTAGAGAATTCCGATGACAGTTTGCCATATGCTCTCACCCGACCAGTAGTGTTCGAGTAGAGAGCTAGTATAAGGTTAATGTACTTCCTCGGCACACCTTTCAATGACAGACACTGCCACAGAACCTCACGATCAACAGAGTCAAATGCCGCTTTTAGGTCCAGGAACACGACTATTGTCGGACGTCTAAATGTGTGTCTTTGTTCCAGGACCTGCCGTAGTGTGAAAATGTGGTCTATAGAACCACGTCCAGGTCTGCTCTTCACCAGCTCTAGTAATAAAAATTTACGATGTACACTTTCACCATAATCAAGGCTTATCAATTAAATGTACACACTCATTATACAATCAAAAACATATTTCAAACTATTACTATTTACCCATCTATAAATTTAGTTAAATGTCATAACAATTCAACAACCTGTTAGTCAAAATCAACACAAAGACTAGGTAAATAGTTTTTATTGTAATAATAATAATAATAACAGAAAGGGATGTCAATAGTCGCCCCATTATTCACTTTACAAATAACAATAGTAATAATAATAATAATAATAATAATAATAATAGTAACTAAATGGTCACAACCATAAGATTATGATTATTAATTTTTTTCTCTTATTCTAAAAAAAATGATGTAGGAATGAAGAGGGAAGGAATGAAGAAGAAGAAGAAGAACAAAGGCTAGAATGTCACAGTAAAAAATAATAATAAAGGCTTGAATAAAAATTAATAACACCTAATTAGTTCATCTTAGTTGACGAAAAGAAAAACTGTTGTTGTTGTTGTTTTTTTTACCCAATTCGACAAGCAGACAAACCAAGGCGTTGTCATGGTTTTCAAGGAAGATGAAGTTGAAGTTGAAGTAAACATATTCAATCAATGATAAAGTAAGTCTACAATTTAAAAAATAACATTCGAAAGAGAAACATTTTTTTTTGCTTTTGCTTTTAAATAGAAAGCACGAAATTTAATGAATGAGAAAAGCGCATACAATAACACACAACCTTTTTTTGGACTTGATTAAGAGGTGAGAAGTGTGTATTGGAAGGAAAAGCTTATTTCAACAACAATAATAATAATAATAAAAGGTGATGGAAATGAAAAAGTTGATCATTGTGGTCAGGGTACTAGTAGTGTATAGGCAGGCATGCAATAATATGTAAATCTGTATATAAATATATATATATATATATATATATATATATATCCTATATGAGAATGAAGATATTGTATCAGAAGAGATGAATAGACAGTAAAAATAGTAACAACAGTTCACAACACTAGACTACTACCACTACTATTACTACTACTGCTACTAACACCAGTAGTAATGTGAAGTTCTTCACAGTTGACGCAAGATCGCCACTGTGTAAGTATAGATCTAGTGTAACAGGAACAAGAACAGTGACACGGATAATAATAATAATAGTAATAAATGTGATTGACAGTAAGCAAAGAGAATGGGATAAACAGATCAATAAGTGAACACAACATTGAAGACAAGAGAATATAAATAATAATAATGATAATACTTATCACACTCATGATGAATATGACAATGATGTGAATGAATGAATGAATGAATGAGAATATATATTGCAATGCAAGACGGTAGATAATTAAGACAACAGTCCTATTTAGGGATAGAATAATAATAATAATAATAATAATAATAATAATAATAATAATATATCTATTTATGTAAGTAGATAATTTGAATGCATTGTTGTGTTTTGATTGATTGTGACTGATTGATTGGTCAATTGGTTGCATATTTTTCTTTAGTTGTTTAAGAAAATAATAAACAGGCTGAGAGATAGATAGATATATATAGAGAGAGAAATAGGTATCAATATCATTCATATAAAAAATTATGCCTGTTCGTTCATTCATCCATGTATTGATTTGTGAGTTGAACGTAATTTGTTTTTTCTTTTTCTTCATCTCCGTAATAATAATAATAATAAATTAATTACCATCATGAATGACTAATTTTGACAATTGTATTAAAGTTTGTAAACATGAATGATCCAACAGAGTTGATGTATCACCAAAATCATAATCTTCATTAGCTATTTTACGTAGTATACGTCGCATAATTTTACCACTACGTGTTTTTGGCAATACTGGTGCACTCTATTACATACACACATATATGTTGTTGAAAGTGTAAACAGAAAAGAAAAAGAAAGGTGGAAGACGGTTACACAAAAACGAAAAGACACAGTCTACAAAATAATGAATAATTTGCAACTCTGGAATTTCTAAGTACAATTCATTTTCTTTATGTTAGAATATTCAACCAATATCCTAAGAGAATTAATTATCTGTAAGTCTAGTTCTATTGGTCAATATTATGGTCGTCCGAGCTATCAATGTCACGTGTTTCAATGCTGTTTCGTATTCGACCTAACTGTATAAATACGCACTATATCTGTAACGTTTTATGACACGGACCCAGATCCTTAGTTTGGAATCCTGATTCTCTATTGGACTCGGACCTCGTACTTTCAGGATGCTTTTAGAATGCAGGTACTACTTCATATCAAGTCTTGTTCTATTCAATTGGGATTTGGGACAATCTAATTAGGGCAGCCTGTCGTATCGCCGGATCGTCGCTCTCGTTTTCCGACTAAGGTAAACTCGCAGTAGTTCAAGCATATCGCACTGTCGTGTTTACGTGCATGCGTAACACTTTTTTCGTACTATAGATGTTGGTTTTTTTAGTTTCTGACTAACACGAAGATGTCGTATTGTTTCGGTTGCGTGTGTATTTTTTATACGTTAGATATGATTTTATTTTGTTGCTGTTAATAAAACATGTCAACTTAGATTATAATACACACATCTGTGATTCTTAGAGTATTATTCTCATGTCAATTTTCAAAGATATACTGATCATCAAATTCCTTTTGATGAAGATACATTTTTCATTTGTGACAATATGCATTTTGATTATTCAGAAAAAAATCTCTTAAAATCCTGATTGTTTCTCTCCTAGAATTATGTACATAGATTAATGTGTAAAATTTACGTTATTAACAATCGCTTGCAAAGTGAATCACAGAGAGAAGTCAGAAGAGATCGAATATGTTTGTATTGATAAGGGACATTGATATGCTTGAAACTATTATGAGTTCACCTTACTCGGTGAACGAGAGTGAAGATAAATGATCCAGTGACACGATAGGCTATTCTGATTTGATTGTCTCCAGCCCTGCTAACTGCATCAAGAAGTCTTGATAAGACGCAGAAAGTGTATTCTACAAGTACCCATAAAATCTGAGGTTGACAAGCACACAAATCGAGTTTCTTTATACATGATAAAAACATCCTTGAGAGAGCCACAAAAATAGCTTACTAAAATAATCCATCAACCAATGACAGTGGAGGATTTTCCGAGTGAGACTTATAATCTCAAGGTCAACTGAGCAGCTTATGCGCGGAAACATAGCATCCAAAATTAGGCCCTTTATCAAATGAGTTCTTGGGATCTAACGTCCTCAACAGACATTCATAGTTACTTCATTCTTGTATCATCTACATAATCTTATTAACTCTAATTGAAACGTTTCATCGACTGTAAAAGAATCATTTTCTCTTTAATTTACTTTTTTTTTCAATACCTTCAATTTCTCATGGAATTCCACACACACATTGGTCATCTTCACTTTTTACATAATCATCATACATTTTCGTGACCAATGAAAAGGTTTGAAACAAAAACAGTATCCAATGAATACTAAAAACACCGTTGGACACCGGCTCAGTGGTCTAACGGTTAGGGCGTTCGCCCACAATACCCAAGGTCCTGGGTTCGAATCCTGCGGGGTGCAGGAATCGTGGATGTGCACTGCTGATGAGTCCCATACCAGGACGAAACGTCCACAGTTCAGTGCTTCCAAGTTTCTAATGGTGTGGTCTAACATTGATCGATTCATGGTTTCAAAAAATGTGTAACTTAACAACAATCTTCACAACCCGGTAATGCAAACACAAAAGTGTTGATAATGTAACTGGCCTCAAAAAAAAAAACCAAAACAAACAAACCAGCGATATTATAAAACTCTGAGATTACATAGTCCAGATGACAAGTATAGCAGCAATAAATAAACCAATTTCTATGTTTTCTTTTCCCTGAAGTTATTTACTTTCCTTATAACATTTAAACTATCAATCAAGCAGCAACACACATGGAAATTGAACTGTTAGGAACTTTTAGGCAACAAACAAAAAAGAAACACATCGTTAAACAATTAACTGTATTGCTTTTTTTATTTATCAATTAAAAAAACGAAATTTGCACAACAAAACTTAGAAAATAGAAATAGTTCACTTGATTTGTTATTTAAAAAAATTATTCTACGTGTTTAGCATAAATTTCAGTCAACTGATTATTATTATTATTTTCAAGTGAATTAATTACCAGACAGTAAGGTCCATATAATTAGTATGAATTTTTTACACTACTAACTAGAAAAATCACATTGAACTTAGAAAAACCAATTTTCAATGTCTGAAGAAAGAAAAAAAACACACTAACAACTAAAGATGTATTCTTTGGCAGTAATATTTATTTGGCAGATAAAAACAAACACACACGCATACACACACACACACACACAAACACTGAGTAATCAAAAAATGTTATGATAAGATGACCAAAAAGTGAGATCTACTATATATCTTAATTCATAGCTGTATAGATAGATAGGTCATTAGAGAAATCACAATTTTACCTGAATATAATCTGGAGTTGCGAATGGACCAATTTTTCGTCGAATAATTTGATATAATTCTGATTTTAATTCTTGTGTAATTCTATCAACATTCATAGTTGATCCATTTAAATGATCTTGTGGTATGGAATCTTTCAATGTAACAAAACAATACAAACATTCACCTTTAACTGGATGTTTACGACTAACAACAGCTGCTTCAGTAACATTAGAATCGGATAGTAGAGCATTTTCTACTTCTGCTGTACTAATTAAATGACCGCTAACATTTAGCATATCATCTAAACGACCTGATATATGTGTAAAAAAGAAACATACAGAAAGTGAGCACAAAAAACTTGATTACTATGAAACATTGTTTGATGAGTAAAACAATAACAGAGATCATGGTTAAAGCAAAAGTAGCCAGCTACAAAATTATTCAGTTTGCTCAAGTTTAAATTGTATTTTAGTGATTCAAATAAACTTTTATTTGTCTGAATAAGTGTTGGTTCCTTCTTGTTAGGCATAAATACGAGTACAAGTTTTCTTGTATAGTTGACTTCACTGTCAGTTCACTAGTTTTTTCTTTTATCGTTTGTTGTCGTTAATATTACACTTCTTACACTGCTTGTCTGTCTCCTTCTGCATTCCATTGTTGACAGGTTTTGTGTATCAGTTCTCGTGTTATCGAATTGGTAATAGATTCTGTTCACAGTAACATAATCTCGAATGTTCGTAATTAGTAATCAACTTGTTTCACTAACTAAACTAACCAACTACAGTGACCGTGTTGGATTTTTTCTGATCTCATTAAGAACATAAATTCACTGTTTGATTTGGTACATCCTACCTAAGCTAAACCCCATCGAGGCGATGGAGGTTATAAAACACCAAATACGAATTAGATTGAATGAATTTATTCTAGAGACATACGTTAAGATGAGAGAGTTGGAGAAGGCCGATGCGCCAACGCAGTTTAATTAGAACATGACTCAACATTTGTGGGCATGAGATAGATACAAGCAAGCAAGCATATAATAAACACATCATACAAGATTACTACACCCACATGATGGAGGTTATACACATAAGAGTGATTATAATATGACTAAAAAGATGTAAACAACTCATCTATGCAAAAGTGAGAATATGTTGTGTAGGCTGTGTAACAATGCTAATTTTAGTACAATCGATTTGTATGAGAGATACTAGTCTCAAAATGAAGAAAAAAAACTATGTTGTCCATTAAACAGGATACTCACAAATAAGTTTTTTTTTAGTATCAATCAACGTTACAAGACTAAATTCGTGTGAGGCAACGTATTTTCTGTTTATACTAGTAGGTAGAAAACAACCGGTATGAACAATCTGATGCCAGAATATAGTCAGTCAGTCAGTTACAACGTGGAATTTCGTACGTATGTACATCAGTTCCGGTTGCCATACCGCACATTAGCACAGAGATGCAACTCTCAGTTCAAATCCAATAGTGGTAGAGATAGTAGAAGTATTAGCAATAATGCAGAAGATTAGGGTTCACAAATATGACTCGACAAGTATAATTAAGTGAGATAAATTTAGAAAGCGAAAGATAAAGATGATGAGGAATTCAGAAGTTTAGAATGAATTTTCGATGTAGCATAGTATGATATAATTCGGAAAGTTCCTATTAAAGTTCTTTTTTTTAAACAAAAGATGAAATACTACGTCGACATTGAGAAAGAGCATTTTTTTTCTTGACACAACGACCTTTACAATTGAACAATCTGTTTCATAAAGTAGTTGTTTCAATTGATGTAAATTAGTTGAAAGACACCAAGTAATTCAATCAATACCAATAATAAGAAAAGACAAACAGACAGGCTACCGAATACCAATACAAAATTATAGGCAATGAATGAATGAATCTATTGAAGAGATGAAAATTACTTTCTGCTTAAACAGTCGAATTATTCAATCAATCAAAGATATGAGAGGAATGAACAAAAATTGGACAGAATTGGAAAGAGAAGCCCAGGACAGAGTAAGTTGGAGAAAACTGGTGGACAGCCTATGGTCAATTGGGGGTATGTAAGTAGGTAAGTAAGTAAGTAAGTAAGTAAGTAAGTAAGTAAGTAAGTAAGTAAGTAAGTAAGTAAGTAAGTAAGTAAGTAAGTAAGTAAGTAAGTAAGTAAGTAAGTAAGTAAGTAAGTAAGTAAGTAAGTAAGTAAGTAAGTAAGTAAGTAAGTAAGTAAGTAAGTAAGTAAGTAAGTAAGTAAGTAAGTAAGTAAGTAAGTAAGTAAGTAAGTAAGTAAGTAAGTAAGTAAGTAAGTAAGTAAGTAAGTAAGTAAGTAAGTAAGTAAGTAAGTAAGTAAGTAAGTAAGTAAGTAAGTAAGTAAGTAAGTAAGTAAGTAAGTAAGTAAGTAAGTAAGTAAGTAAGTAAGTAAGTAAGTAAGTAAGTAAGTAAGTAAGTAAGTAAGTAAGTAAGTAAGTAAGTAAGTAAGTAAGTAAGTAAGTAAGTAAGTAAGTAAGTAAGTAAGTAAGTAAGTAAGTAAGTAAGTAAGTAAGTAAGTAAGTAAGTAAGTAAGTAAGTAAGTAAGTAAGTAAGTAAGTAAGTAAGTAAGTAAGTAAGTAAGTAAGTAAGTAAGTAAGTAAGTAAGTAAGTAAGTAAGTAAGTAAGTAAGTAAGTAAGTAAGTAAGTAAGTAAGTAAGTAAGTAAGTAAGTAAGTAAGTAAGTAAGTAAGTAAGTAAGTAAGTAAGTAAGTAGGTAAGTAAGTAAGTAAGTAAGTAAGTAAGTAAGGTGTGTAAGTAAGGTGTGTAAGTAAGTAAGTAAGTAAGTAAGTAAGGTGTGTAAGTAAGTAAGTAAGTAAGTAAGTAAGGTGTGTAAGTAAGTAAGTAAGTAAGTAAGTAAGTAAGTAAGTAAGTAAGTAAGTAAGTAAGTAAGTAAGTAAGTAAGTAAGTAAGTAAGTAAGTAAGTAAGTAAGTAAGTAAGTAAGTAAGGTGTGTAAGTAAGTAAGTAAGTAAGTAAGTAAGTAAGTAAGTAAGTAAGTAAGTAAGTAAGTAAGTAAGTAAGTAAGTAAGTAAGTAAGTAAGTAAGTAAGTAAGTAAGTAAGTAAGTAAGTAAGTAAGTAAGTAAGTAAGTAAGTAAGTAAGTAAGTAAGTAAGTAAGTAAGTAAGTAAGTAAGTAAGTAAGTAAGTAAGTAAGTAAGTAAGTAGACAACATCATATACAAGCGCTACTACAGCACAATATATTGAAGAGTAGTAGAAAAAAGGCGTCGTGTTCAACAAATAATACTGATGTGTTTGTTTTTTTCTTCTTACATTCGAATGTGTAGAACGAGAAAGAAAACAAACAAACAAAACAAAACAGAAATTCCAAACTGTATTTATGAATGAGAAAATATGTGTGTGTGTGTGTATTTTGTAGAAAAAAAAACAAAATTTGTACATATTGTCAAAATGAGTGAAATACCACAGAATAATAATAATAATAATAATAATAATAATAATAATAATAATATAAAGATAAGATAATCAAGATTGATGCCAACAAGTCGACCTAAGAGTTAGTTAGAACAAAGAAGATGATTGAAATGAAACTCTAACAAGGTTTGTTTTTGTTTTGTTTTGTTTGTATAATCCAGATATTAAACTGGAGACGAAAGATGAGAATAGTTGAAAAAAAAAAGTAGCAAACAATGAGTAGGATGACCAATTTGCAAAAATGACCAACCACGTTTTTTGATCTATCTATCTATCTACATAGTTTCACCGATAGATAAAGCTATGCTATTCAGGTCATAAATAGTCTGGATGATGTTTACTTTTTAAAAAAAAACAAACAAATATGATGAATTATTACTATTTTAGCACGGATAGAGAAAGCTCGATTGAAGTTTGCCAATATGCGTCACCTATGGCGCAAGCGAGATATCCGTTTGTTGACTGAAGGACGAGTGTACCATGCAGTAGTTCACTCTATCCTACTATATGGTTATGAAAAATGGCCAGTAAGAGTTGAGGATATTCGTAAATTATTAGTATTCGATTATAGATGTCTTGGGAGCATTGCTTGTGTATCCTGGGACAACCGAGTAAGCAATGCTATAGTTAGGAAGCGAGTACTAGATAGGGATGGCGGATCAGTAGGTGAAGTAGTGAAACTCCATCAGTTGAGGAGGTTGGGACATGTGTTACGAATGCTCAACCACCGACTGCCTCGACGAGCTTTGTTTGGTAGTGTAGGAATAGGTTGGAAGAATGCTAGGGGCGGCCAGACCAAAACATAGTACAAATCCATGAAATCACTAGCAAGTGGACTGAGTCATATTGGTAGATGTAGGCTACCTGGTTGAAGTCCCTGAGACGAAAGTCATCAATGGTTAGAGACCTTGAACGACATGGCTCAAAATCGTTTGCAATGGCGCAGGTGAATCCACTCTTTGTTTTCTCTGAAATTCTAACCTTCTGAATTCTTCATCATCTCTATCTTTCTCTTTCTAAATTTATCTCACTGAATTACACTTCTCGAATCATATCTTCGAACCCTAATATTCTCCATTACTGATAATATTGACAGTTGTGTCTCTGCGTTAATGCGGTATGGCAACCTGAACTGATTTCCAGTTCAATAGTCAATATCTATTAATTTGAAATTCTAACAAAAAGTAATGTTTTCTTCTTCGCTTCTATGAATGTATTTTATCACTAGAAATTGATAGGTTTGTTATTAACTAAGTTGACTTTTTTTAAATCGAAGTTCCAGCTATAATAAACAATGACTGTTTACAAATCTTGCTAATACTGAGTTTTACAAAAAGAATAATAGTTTTAAGCAGTTTGAAAATGTTTATTTACACACGGTTATAAAATAAAGGATAATTTTCCCGTTCAATTCACTATATATGTACTCTAGATGAAGTAGTGGTTGGGATATGTATTACGAATCCCAAACCACCGACTGCCTGGGCGAGCGATGACGCCTGGTGTAGGGGTGTAGGCTGGAAAAAAGCTAGGGACGGCCAGAGCAAAATTTGACACAAGTCACTGACAACTGGACTGAGCCATATAAGCAGGTGCAGACCACCTGGTTGGAGTCCACGAGACAATAGTAACCGATGATTGTAGACCTTAAATGACATGGCTCGAAATCTTTTGCAATAACGCATCCATTTATTGTCTTCTCTCAAATTCTAATCTTCCGAATCTCTCATGACGGCTTTTTCTCTTTGTGATTTTAAAAATTGATTCCTCTTCTTGAATATACTTCTCGAATGATATCTTCGATCAATAATTTTTTTGATGGCCGTTAATACTTCCACTACCTTTACCACTATGAGATTTAAATTGAAAATTCGATCTCTGTGTGCTAATGTGGTATGGCAACTTGAACTGATGTACGTGTACGTACAAAGTTATACGTTGTAGCTGACTGACTGACACACACAGAAAGAGGGAATCGACGACATGAGTGCAACAGGAACATGAATCCAGATGATACGCAAATTAGCCAGAATAAAATATGAGGATATGTTCATTGGCAGCCATAAAGTTTTCATTGAAAATCATCTAAAGTCGATTTCTAGCGTTTCATGAGATCGAATATCAACAAGTCTACACACACAGTGGTAACCTTAATAACATTTAGTCCAATATTGAAGGATTAAAGAAATATAAATTTCAATCAACTATGAAGTCTTTCGTAATGAGAAAACTTTAATCTGTTTTAAGGCTATAACACTTACCTGTTATCCAAAAATCCCCATCTTTATCTAACACAGAACCATCACCAGCAACATAATAACCAGGAAAACGTTTAAAATAAACCGTTTCAAATAATTCATGATTATTATTGATTGTTCGCATCATACCAGGCCATGGTTTAGCAAATACTAAATAACCTTCAACATTAATACCTAACGTTTTTGATTGGTCAGTTAAATCTTCACCAGTATCAGATAATATACGAGCATCAATACCAAAAAATGGTTTTGTAGCACAACCAGGTTTCATTACATTTGCTCCAGGTAGTGAAGTAAGCATATGTCCACCAGTCTCAGTTTGCCAAAATGTATCTACAATTGAACATTTACCATTACCTACAACATTATAATACCATTCCCAAGCAGATACATTAATTGGTTCACCGACACTTCCAAGAACCTACGGAAAAAAAGATAGGTGGGAAAGAAATCATTGAATTGTACTCTATTGTTATCCATCGGTTATGAAAACGAACATTGAGAATTATCTGACAGGCTTAGAGTTCTGCAAACAGCAGAAGCGATTATTTTGTATCCAGAAAATAAATCTCGGAGTTTTATTCTATACAAGCAAAAGATATAACTAACCGTTTTGTTAGCTAAGTTAGCCAACTTTAAGCCTAGTAGAATCAGTCATTATCTTGGTTAAAAGACTATGTATTTTTTATGTATGAACGCAAAATACTTCGTATTCGTTGGCCAGACACTATCAGCAACAACGAACTGTGGGAGAGAACAAACTAGATTCCAGTGGAGGAAGAAATCAGGAAGAAGCGGTGGAAGTGGATAGGACACACACTACGAAAAGCACCTAACTGAGTCACAAGACAAGCCCTCACATGGAACCCTCAAGGTCGAAAGAAAAGAGGAAGGCCAAGGAATACATTACGCCGAGAAATAGAGAAAGATATGAGAGGAATGAACAAACATTAGACAGAACTGGAGAGGGAAGCCCAGGACAGAGTTGGTTGGAGAAAACTGGTGGGCGGCCTATGCTCCATTGGGGGTAACAGGCGTAAGTAACTAAGTAAGTACGTATGAATGTATATGTATGTATTTTTTTAATAACATGAATCCATTTCATATCCAAGTATTGTTGTTATTACCAACCTTTGTATTGTTATTTATCTTTTAAATATGTTAAGAATTTAATTACTGCTCACTTCATCATAATGATTTCACGCATTATGCAGTATTCGACTAAATATTTAATCTGACATATAATTACATCATTATCTCACTAATACTATATGTTGAACGTTAAGACAGTTTTAATGTATGGAGCTGAAACTTGCAGAACTACAAAAGCCATCATCTAAAAGATAGCAGTGTTGATTAAAAGTTGTCTACTTAAAATACTGCAGATTCGTTAGACAAACACCATCAGCAACAACCTACTGTGGGAGAGAACAAACCAGATTTCAGCAGAGGAATAAATCAAGAGAAAGCGCTGGAGATGGATAGAACACACAACGTGGAAATCACTGTACTGCATCACGAAGCAAGGTCTCACTTAGAACCCTCAGGGATAGAGTATAGAGGTAGACCAAGGAACACACTGCGCCGAGAATTGAAAGCAGACATCAATCGAATGATTAGCAATTGGAAAGGCCGAAGACAGAGTTGGTTGGAGAATCCTCGTCTGTGGCTTTTGCTCGATTAGCGGGAACAGGCATAGATAAATAACCCTGTATGTTGTCAATATTTAGGTCGGTTATTAATAGCTTAATTTCAGATAACAATTAAATTTAATCATGCCAACATTGTATACTAGACATTATCAAAAGAACAATTTTGTTTTAATTTTGATTATTCCTTTGAAACATTAATTTGAACCTAATGATAATTTATCTAAAGAAAGTATTCCTTGTTTATTCAGTAAGAATATAGTGTAGGAATGAGCTTAAAACAATAACGATTCATGTTCCAACAGTTTTCAACCAATCAGAAAATAGACTCTAGTAATGGACAATTTATTGAGAAGACAAAGTGTAAACTGATTCTACATACGTAATTAACCCATTTAAATCTTCTAAAGGTCACTGTAGCTGTACTCTACTAAAAGCGAAAGTAAATATCCTTATAGACAGAGATTATCCGCCTTCTCAAACTCTTATAAAGACTCAAATAGCAGACACATTGTTTGTCATTAGGTTTAGGGTTAATATTTTCACCACAAACTGACATGTAAAAATACTCTATAGACAAATGGAATGAATTTCATGCAATAAATACAAGAGTCTATCTATACCGGAATAGTTTGCACATGAAAAGTGACGCCCATCAACTTCAGGTTTGCTTTCAAATTAAATGTTCAAGGTTAGCACTTAGGGAAAGTATCGATTAGCGGGTTATATATAGTCTGCAGAAGCACAGAATTAGGCGTTTGATTAGTTTGTCCCTCTCTCTGTATGGCATACTTTAACCGTTCAATTTATACATTCTCGATTTAATTCAACATTTGATTTGGTAGATTACAAAAAAACATATACTAGTTCTGTAGTGAACGAGAACACAGGTGGGGTAACCGAATTGTATTTAACGAAAATTACAGAGTTACTCAGTAAAATTGGAAAACCATATCGTAAATCGTTAATTTGCAAAATATCAGTTCATCATATCGAACTGGACTGTCTGTTCCTGTCGCAAAACATCAATCCATTGTCACTATTCATGCGTTTCATACAAATTCCATTGTGTTCTAACTCTTCCTTTCTTGATCTTCTTCCATCTTCTACTGCCAGACATTACGTTGACGCTCACGTCATATACTACTTATAAGTAGCTCACACCACAGTTCAATGTTAACATTTTCATTAGGATATGTCGGTAACAACAGAGATTTTATTCATGTAAAACTTTACATCATACTATGTAAGGACATTGACACAAACAATCTAATACATTAACAAATAATAATGCCCAATTTAGAACAATGAGAAAAAAAATATGCCGCATAAACTTAACATTCCATCCATATCAGTACAATTGTAATAGTTATTATTTTATTTTTTTTTAATGACTAACAATCATCATTTCACATGACATATCAATAAAAAATATTTAATAGTTAAATGAACAAAAAACTATGACAAATACTCACTTTTAATGATGTACGATCATAACATTTCACATATTGATCACCAGCTTTAATTAATGTACGAATAGCTGTTGGAGCTGTGTAGAATTTTGTGACTTGATATCGATCTACAATAGCCCAACATCGACCTGGATCAGGCCATGTTGGAATACCTTCAAATACAACACTTGTAGCACCGTTTAATAATGGCCCATATACCACATATGAATGACCTAAGCGCGACAAACATAAAAAGATTATTTAGATTAATTGGTTTAACGCTTGTATAAATATACAATACAATGACATAGTTAGGTAACAGATATTTCGGTGTTTTGTTAAATCATATGAATAATATTGAAATGAACATCAAATTGTAGCAATTGATATTTACCTATTGAAGGCATCTTATATCGATTGAAAATCTATTTAGAATTTCATGTGTGTTCTCTCAAATCCTAATCTTCTGGATTCTTCAACCCCTCTACTTTTGACTTTCTAAACTTATCTCACTGAATCATATTTCTTGAATAATATCTTCTAATCCTAACTTCTCCGATTACTTCTAATACCTTTACTACCTCTTCGACTATCGGATTTGAATAGACAATTATATCTCTGTGCTGATGTGGTATGGCAACATGAACTGATGTACTTACGTACAAAGTTCTACGTTGCATCTGACTGACTGACTGACTGTACACAAACGCTGGTTAAAATAGTTTCATTAATTTGAGAGAAACTGAGGAAGATAATAATAAATGAAAATAACTCAATCAGATAGTTTTATCAAACATTGAAAGTGTTTGAAAAAGAACCAGTGCAAACAGGATAGTATTTGACAATGTGCAGCTTTTCAACAGTTAACGCTTACAATCTTATGTACGGAATGGAACTTAGAACCTTCGGGTTTCGTGACGAAGATTGTACACTCAAACTATTGATTGGGAACCCTCATGGTCTAGGTTAGTTAGTATCTAATCAAACCAAAGTAGATGAAGTAGTATTCGACCGTAAGACGTAATGAGTAGTGTTAGTTATTTCCATAACTAACCAATCAAATTGTTGTTTAAGCGCTCATCACGTGACCTGATTGACGTGTCTGTAAACTTTCTTTGTTGTAAAGTGACCTACAAATTGATTGACATAATTATCTCATTATATTGATGTGACTCATAACTTTATTCATTTCCATAAGACACGCTATATTGGTCGCTATGTTTACTGGTTTCACTCGATAACTGTAATTTCCTTATTTATTGTACTAATCTAATTGTTATTATGTTTAGAAACAGATCAAGTTTAAAGCAAAATTGGTCTTGTTCTAACTATAGCTTTCCCATAGACTCTGTGCTCGCCAATATTGCGTTTACCGTTCTAGAATTATTACATGTGTAGGACAAATCAAAACCTACAAGTAGTAAATCAAATGATCTGATCAATTAGTTACTTATTCGAAAAACTGCATGTATTTGCTCGAGCCTATTTCACAACACCTAAATAAAACTCTTAAAACGGAGTCGCTTCTCGAAATTGAATTCTATGGAACAGCAGGGCATTATTTTAGCCACTTAACTCAGTTACTAATTGGTAGATTTCAAAATCGATACTTTCTGTCTCGATCTACTTAACAATAAGCGTGGATCACAGTTTCAATACACAAATCCACACAGGATTACTGAGATTAATTTCAGTTTCGTAATAAGTAGTGTAGTGAACGAGAACACAGGTGGGGCAACTGGATTGTATTTAACGAAAATTACAGAGTTACTCAGTAAAATCCGAAAACCATATCGTAAATCGTTCATTTGCAAAATATCAGCTCATCATATCGAACTGGATTGTTCCTGTTGCAAAACACCAATCCATTGTCACTCACTATTCATGCGTTTCATACAAATTCCATTGTGTTCTCACTCTTCCTTTCTTGATCTTCCCCCATCTTCTGGTGCCACACATTACGTTTCCACTCACGTCATATACTACTTATAAGTAGCTCACACCACAGTAGGACCGAAAATAAATCCCTTAAAATTTACTGATAACTGCATTAAAACAAAAACAAAACTGATAAACCCCGCTTAGTTTCATCCGACATTTATCAGCTCCCATCTAAAAAACCTTAACTTATCTAAATAAAACTGTATTATTTTTGCTGCTTTCACTGAAATTCAATTATTCCTGACCAATAAACATCTATCCGATGCTGACTGCCTTGTGATATAACACATGTTTATAAAAATTCCATTTATTCTTCATAAACTTGTATTATAATAGCTATATTGAGGCAGTCAGCACAAGATACACAAACACATATGTTAGAGATTTTCCGTAAACACACTTAGTTGTACAAATCCTCATATGGAAAAAGTAATTGAGAATAAATTCACTATCAGTATATAAAACATACCTGTAATCCAACCAGCATCAGCAGTACACCAATATACATCATCCTCATGATAATCAAATGTATAAAAGAATGTTGTAGCTGTATAAACCATATAACCACCTGTAGTGTGTACAACACCTTTCGGTCGACCTGTACTACCACTTGTATAAAGTATAAATAATGGATCCTCGGAATTCACCCATTCTACAGAACAATCAGTATCTTCCGGAATCGTACTAATAATATCATGCCACCAATAATCACGACCATCTTTCAATGGGACGTCAAGCCTATTTAAAGAAATATAAAAAAAATGATGTTCCTAGAACGAAATGGCAGTAAAATTTTAACTCACATGAGGAAAAACACAAGACAAATGAACTGACGTAATACGAACATCAAGTCATACGGACGTGCGATAAACTTTTACTAAGTCCAGTAGTGTTCAACCTATTTACAAAATACACACTTATATATTCCGATTTAAGCCACATATTTTATGTATGTGTAGGGAGAGAGAGAGAAAGAAAGAATACCGGTACCGCCCACACAATGAACCAGGTAGAGTGGACCTCGCAACTTCATCTCCAACAACCACTAGATTGACAGATCACTACTACTGAGCAATAACTAACCTTGTGATTATCTAGTTTTAATCGAATTATGTTGATCCTGTTTAACTGACAAATCGTTTTTGGTAGGATCAAAATTTATTTCTTCTATATAAAAGGTGGGTTCGTTCTTTTCAATTGTCAATAATTCACTGAAATTTAATATACTCATTTAGAAATTACAATTTTCTATTTGTGATTATTTAGAATACAATATTTTCGCTAATCAAATCGATATAGTTCGATCCACACGAATACACACATCATTGATTACTACAATTCAGTGGATCGATCAATTAGTCGGTAAACATTTGCTCAACTCCAAAAAACAAGGAATCAGAGGTAAATTCAACTTCCTAGAATTTTATGAAATCATACAAACAATGAAAACTACACAAACATTTCACATGAACTGTTATGATTGATCATATGTGAAGATGTTGAAAAAAAATATCTGAATACAAAAACAACATTCGATTTCAAAATTCACGTATTGATTTCGAGTGAAAATTTTGTTTTGTTAACCTTTTGGTATTTGTTAATTTAGGCGAGTTTGTGTTTATTGAACTTTGGTGAATTTCAATTCGCGTGAATATTTAATTGCATTGTGGGGTTTGTGAAAATTGTTAAGTTACATACATTTTGAAATCATGAATTGATCAATGTTAGACCACCATTAGAAACTTGGAAGCACTGAAAGACGACCGTTTTGACTTATCAGTGGCAGTACGCATCCACGACTCTTGCACCTCGCAGGATTTGAACCATACGACCTTCGGTCTTGCGCTCGAGTCATGTGCGCTAGTGACTAGCTTCATGAGGAATCTTTTCTGAGGTCTAGTGAGAAGTTGTGACCAGTGAAGTTCAACCTGTTCGAGTGTATACAGTAACAACCGAAGACAGTGGTGTGTGGTTGCGCAAATTAATTTTTATTCATAATGTGAAATAAATTAATTCACTTCCAATGTAACTCTATTTTTTTAAATTAAATAAATGCATTGTGATTTTCTTATTCAACTGATGGATAATTGCTTAGTTTGATAAATAAATAGTATAACTACATTAACGAGCAAAATTATGCAAATTTGGGGTTTCTTTCTTATTCTTGATTAACAGAGGATTTAGAAACACAATCTTATTCGTCACTGTGAGGTTGCAGTTGCAGTTGTAAGTAAAAAATAAAAGTTGTAACAACTCTCATCAATCAATAGAAACTGACAAAAGTATCTAGAAACAAAAAAAATGGTTGTTTTTCCGCAATGATAAAAAAAAAAGATGTTTACATTGAAGCAGGTCGAACACCAGCTTTACTTTCAACGTTATTATTGATTCCATTGGTGGATTTAAGTGGGAAAGCAGTAACATGTTGAAATACAACACATCGTTCAATGAAATATCCTTTATCTTCACATATATTCATTGCAGTAGAGGCGATTGATTTAAGTTCAATAAGTTTTGATCCTCGCCATGTTCCATCAGCTGTGATGAGAATTTTACACCTGATTAGGAAGAAAAAAAGTATAGGTATTTTTATTAAGTCAATATAATAAACAGACTGAAAGAAACTAACTGAAATATGCATGGTCTAAATACAAATCAGTGAGCATAAGTGGAACAGCAAATCAGATAATTTTGGGCAAAAAAGAAACAAGCGTAATTTTCTAACAGAACAAAAATGTTAAATTTTAAAAGATACACATTCGCACCGTTTTTTCTTTTTGATGATTTCTCACGATGATTAACACTGGGTACTGATCTTTGTTAAATAACTATTGAAAACTAGAAAGCATTGGATATCTATTTCACCTAATATGAGGCTCCCACCACCAGTGTGCACCCGCAATCTCTTCATAAGGAGTCAAACCAAGAACACAGTCTCGCATGCGGACGCTGAACTTCTAGACCACCGAGCTATTCTGTACTAAAATGAAACGGTAATCCTACGCTTTCTGGTTTATTTAACCAAGATTAAGAACCTGGAAGTACTGGACGGCCGTTTCGTCCTGGTATGGGACTCATCAGCAGGGCGCATTCACGACTCCTGCACCTCGCAGGATTCGAACGCAGGACCTTCAGTCTTGCGCGTGAACGCTTAACCTCCGGACCACTGGGCCGGCTATGCAACAGTGTTAATGTCTAACTCTGATCAATCTACAGATTTTGCGCGACCTCACCCATTTGTGTTTGGTAGTTACTACCCAAAACTAGTTCGACACAAGACAGTCGAAGAAATTGTTCAAATCATTTATAAAACGGATACGTAGTTATAGTGGCTTTTAAATATATTTAATACAAGGAAAGAGCCCACAGAGATCCAAAAAGGAACATGTTTACAATCTGCTTTTGCAACAAGTAGCTAATATCTTAAATCGATGGTCTGGCTTACTTATTGAGATGACACAAGTGAACAATACTGTTCCTTCATGTGGGCAACTCTGAAGTGCCGAACCCCAGTAAATCTCCACTGACAATTAAATTTATAATATCTTCATCAACTCCATTCCTAATTTCCGAATATGTTTCTGCCTTTGTAAACACTACCTCTTTAAACGTATTGTCTGTGTTTGCAACCGGTGTTTATAACTTCAGCTTACGAAAAGTTACCGCTGACTACTCAACACTGCATACCAAAATGCATGTTAGGGTTTTCAACCATTTAGTCCAGTGTTATATTAAACAACAAGCTTAATTCATCTAAACTCCTTAATATCATCTTAATGGTGTATTTGATAAACGATAAATAGAGTTAAACTGTTTTGATTAATATATTATACTAGAAATATAATATGATAAAAATAAGCTCCTGAAAATATTATATTACTTGGCATCTATAATTCGATCGGCAAGAGCACATGCAGAGAATCCACCAAATACAACAGTATGTACGGCACCAATACGAGCACATGCTAACATAGTCATCAGAAGCTCTGGAATCATGGGCATATAAATAGCAACACAATCACCCTTTTTAATGTCAAAGTTTTCAAGCATTTTTCCAATTCTTTTAACCTATACAAAGTAGTTTAAATGATCAGAAGAAATTAGTTAAATAATGTAAGCCAATAGCCCACTGAAAATAAACAAGAAATTAATTAATTTACAAAAAACGTGAACAATGAGATCAACAAAAATACCATTATTAGAATTTATAATTATTATATAAATTAACCCTCTATTGGCAAGGGTAATTTTATATTGGTTTTCAGGAGAACCGAGGAGACTGACCACATGTTAGCATTTCGATGTGAACAGCTCGGTTCAATCGCGTGGTGCAACCACACAATTACCTAACACCCTGGTGGACCATTCATATTATTTATATACACTAGTACATATATAGTGATTATTTCCGATCCATGATGGCGTCAATCAATATGCACCGCATGAACAGGCCAATCCGACTCATCCCGTTTAAATGACTGTCAAACTTATTATTGTTAACAATGGTGATATGCAATACGGTACTCCGATGACAATGACACTCGAGGATGCTGCAAAACAACCACCAGTATCAAAGAAATAGGTCACCCTGTTAACCAATTTTGTATATGGACTGTTAACAATACTTGCCAAGGTAGTGTCAAGCCATCCACAACAATGTTCACAGCGAACATCTGGTCTCATTGGAAACCTTCAACTCTATATAGCAATATAGCATATGGTATACATATAGTATGGTCATTAGAATTAAGGGTTTGTAATTTGTATCATTAATATTCAGGACTACAATTGGTCAGATGATGTTTAAAGCGAGAGGTACTAGATTACAGTTTCAGTGTGAACATTAACACTGGGGGATGCAAACACATCCTGATGACCAGAATGACAAGCGTTACTTGGATTTCACTGATATCCACATAAGGAATATGCTATAATTGATTTCATGTTTAAGAATGAAGTTATAAATCATTGAGTCATTAATTCAAAGCATACTTAAGTATAAAAGATTAGGCATTGTGTTTTCGCCTCCATAACACACATAACTTGCCAAATAATGCCTGAATTATATTCAATGAATGAGGGTACATAAATCAATACTTAAATATTCCAATGAATAACAACACGATGAGACTTAATACCACAATTAGTAAATTAGTACCCAGTTGATTAACTAGTATTACCAATAAACCGAAACATTTGGATTTCATTCTTTTTCCAATAGAACAGGGAAGTAGTAATAGATCGCCATACAAGTTTTACAGATTTATTGTTACCAATTGTGAGTTTTTTCTCCAAACAATAACTTATACTTTTAAACAATGTAAAGCGTTTCGTTGCGACTTTAAAAAAACTGAACGTATTGAAGTGGTAGATTTAACTAAGAGCAAAATAAACGTAGTGGTGATATTGAGTTAACAGAGTAGGAACAAGTTGTATGTTTGTTGTGGTGATATGAAAAAGTCCAATTATTGTTTAGCTAGCCGGACAGAGGAACTTTTACATAATATTTGGAATAAAAGTTGTCAAGCTTCCTGACGAAACCTGCAGTATCAATCATGGAAAACCACATCATCATCATCAATTTTTAATCCTGAATTATGTATAGATAACTGCTGAGTGAAATTTGTAAATGATGCTTAAACATAAAAACACATCTCAACCTTGTTTTAAAATAAATTAGAAAATAGGATAAAATAAATTAATTTCAACTAATTTAATTTGTAGAACAAACAACCAAATGTACATAAAAGCTCTAAGTACTTTGGTCAACATTTCACTGTATGTCAAACGACTTGTATCATTTGGATCGTTGCCTTCCCATAAAATTGCCACTTTATCGCCAAAACCACGGTCAACATTGCGATCTAGAATGTTGTAGCAAATATTTGTGCATCCATCCTCAAACCACTTGACGAAAATAGGTCCTTTACGGCAATCAAAATTATAACTGAGACACTTTCCGAATGAAGGAGGTGACTGCCAATGAAATTTCATGGCATATTCTAACCAAAATTCCTTAGGATTGCATAATGCTTTGTCAGACAACAACTTATGTTCTTCTTCTGACTTAACATGGGCAGATTTTCTTATTAAATCGCTGGGTGAAATGATATTCATGACCTCTTGCGTGATTGTATTAAATAAGTTTCCTTTCCAGAAGTATTACGACTAGAACATGCAATAGATGAATCGAGAAGACTATATGAGTAATCTAGAAGATAAAAAAAACAGATAAGTTAGTATACACTAGTGTTCCTGCAAGACGTAACAATGCAAAGTTAAAACGGTTAAACAATAACAGATAATAATCGTATCTCGATTTGAATGGTGTACAGAGATTGGAAAATGCAGTAGTGCGGTCAGATAGGTCAGAATGAGTCATTTCACTTTGTTGTTTGATAGACTAGAATTTAATGCCAATGTATAAAATATTCAACCTCACCTGGAACTTCCGAAGACACAAATCGTAGTCAAAAGGTGAGGTTTTAGAACTTATCGTGTTTTTCAGAACTTGATCTGCGTCACTCGTCGTGTAGTAGAGATATCCATTCACTAACCAAAGGATAAGCTTACTGAGTGGCATTTCTCTCCGTCTTACTCTGTGTGTGAAACACGACCTTCAGAACACTACTCATGTACTTTTAGACCATCAAGTGACAAAAGTTTGGGTTAGGAAAAGTGTTTTTTTAAGGGTGGAATGGCTCGTGACGTTTTGTTTAATTGTTTCATTGATTTATATTGTCTTGAATTATACCGTTGATCTCTAAACCGGTACTGTTACTACTAAATTTGATCTGACAGTTTCACTTCTCTGTGCTAAAGGTATATGGCAACTTAGACTGATGTATGCACGTACATAGTTCTATGCTACATCTAATTAACTGATTTAAATAAATGCGAATCTTGATTGCAATCCTGTCTTAAATAACATATTTCTGAAAATTCCTAATATTTGTTTGAACCAATAGTACAGAGGCATATAAATATATATGCTTCACACCAACCATTGAGGCTGATTAGGGTTGGGTACTGCCCGGGTACCTAAACCAAAGCAGATAGTTTCCTTAAGGCCAAAAGGCAAGTGATAGTAAATTTTTGAAATACAAAGCGAGTTTGCTTACTAGTTTATATTAGCATTACTAAAAAACAAAATCACATATATTACGCTAGTATGTCAATAAAAATTGTCTGATTCAGTTTATACTCATACTTAACTGAACAATTAAATCTCTGGACCACTGAACAAAAAAGTTACTTTAAGGTAACTTAGCAGGAGAATACCTAGGACATAATATGATCAAAGCCCTCAGCAGAATGACCACTTATCCACTTACTCTACGTTAGAATGTGTAGCGGGAAAGGAACCGTAAGAAGCTTTGTCTGCTTTTACATAAGTTTTGGATAGCTCTAGGTCATCAGATAGTAACATCAAACCGACATTGAAGGTAGAATTTAGTCGAGCACAGATTAGTTGAAGTAGTTACACTTTAATTTCCACGCAGATTGTGTGATTTTGCTTGCAAATAATCCACAATATCTTTTGTTGTCTGCGTCCTACGAAAAGCAACCATTGAGAATATATGGCTTGTATGATAATGCATCTAGAAAAATGGTAAATGTAAAGACTCTGAATTGAATTTCCTTTGAGCATCACCGGTAACAACAAAATCTGATAGTTCCCTAAACCATCACATGTTATATATAATTCCTCTACTCAAAACTCCGGTTAGAGACTAGGCTTTAAAATTGCATTGAAAGAAACCAAAACCGAAAAATAACTTTCAGCAGTTTGTGCCATCCACATAATAGGCTGCAAACTATGTACAACTTTATCGATCGAAAATTTATATGAGTTAAACACAACATTAAAAGACTAATATCACTTGTCTACGAACCCGACGACAGTAACCAAGACCATATACCAGGTTAGAATGAGTAACGCAACTACTTGTAAAACCTCCTGGGCTAGCGCGACTATTCAATAAACAATATTCTATATCATTTTTGCAGGCTAATTTAAACCAACCAATTTCCTTAATCTCCTTTGGTACAGTTGCGAGTGTCCAAAGGATGGTATTATAGTCACTCAATTGCACTAATTCTAGTCATTCGGCAGTTATTTATAAATTCGTATATCCCTTGACTTGAATGGGTATATTTGTGTCAGTACCGTAGGGTTTCTGGAAGCTTTCTGAACTAAGTAAATAGATGGATAAATGAGTTAACTAGTTGGTAGTGAAGATTGTGTGAGAGGAAAAAAGTGTATGCAAAAGAGAAAAAACCATGACAATAAGTGAAGTAGATTGTTAGTGATCTGAAAAAATAACAATAATAACAACTAGCAAGCCTCAAGACACGCCTCAAGCACAGCTGATCAAGGATATAGACTATAATCCGTTTGTGTGTATGTACTATCAAGTTTATTCCTAAAGCTACCCATTGAGGGGGTTGTGGTCACCTCGGCTTGAAGAGCGTCCCGTTTTGCAGCAACTCTTAATCAGAAAGAGTGTGCAAAAACGTAGGTGTTCGCTCGTTGATCGCGATTTTTCTAGGATTACTCAGGGGCATGGTAGTGATGCTTCGGTAAGATGCTCATGTTAAGACGATTTGGCGTGCCTAATATGTTTATGGAATTGTCACATCACTTCTGATTCTGTTGCAACTCTGAGAGAATAGTCCTCAGTGCTATGGTCTATCTTCGTAAGGTTTATTCTTCAAGCCTTTCAGCCAATTAGTTGCTCGTGTCTACACTCAATATAAGAGATAGCACCAAGTTGTCTTCTCATAAAGTGAAGAGTTGAATTAAACTTGACTGCGTCTCTAATATCGATCGAACCGGTTATTGAGTTTTTTCAGTGGTTTCTCAATTCGGAAGAACATTGGAAGAAGTTAGGTACTCGACTTTACCAGTTATTCCCACAAAAAAGCAATTTATCTGGGTGAGAAACGGTTCTATTAATAATTACTTAATATAAATAATTACCTAAACAATATTAAACTGTTTCTTAACACAATTTAACAAGTAAGTATCGATTTAGACAGCATAATACAGTTCAACAGAAAACATAGAAACTCCAATAAAGGTAAAAAAATAGAAACCATAAGAAAATACAAATATTAACATCAGAAAATGGGATTAAACCGAAATGTAGGACAGAAAGAGCCAGTAAGAGCAAATATGTACATGGAGAGATTTTCCCAAAACAAAGGCTTCAAATTGGATTCTACACCGATATCTAGGCTTTCAGTAGTTGTCCAGCCGAAATCGCTCTCTGAGATGTTTGGGAGCAAACTTGCATTGTGCGTTGAAGTCGTTTGTGTCACGATGTGCAGAATGTTCATAATGTGACATTTCGACTGGTTTTAGACCGTTTTTTTACTGCCCATTCATCAATGGATGTAAAATCCTTTTAAAGCTCAGTTGAATCTTCTCCGCTTCTTATGAACCTCTCTCTATCGTCTGCATAGATCAATACCGCTGAGATAATTTTGACTAGTACGTCACGAATGAATAACAGGAAGAGGATTGGGCATAAGATGGTCCTCTGTGAAGATTCCGATGCCTAGCTGTCCCGTGCTAAGGGAAGACTAGATGCACATGACCTGACTTTTCGAAACCCATGTTGTTTTTACCCATATACTCCCTCATTTACTCATTCACCAATCCCTCCATTACCTTCTATAGTATTGTTAGTAATGCGACTGATCTGCAACAGTCTGAACCCTCCATTTCTATTACTTTAAATATAGGAGAGATAGTAGCTTGTTTCCATTAATTATCTTCATCACAAGCTGGCATAAAAGACTGTTTCTTGTGTGCTCGCTCCCTGTTATCTCAGTATGGTTAAAGGTATGTCGTAATGTACAGTGGGTTTCAGTGTAATATCTTGGAAATATTAATTTTAGTCATTTTGTCAGCTATTCATAGATCTGAATGATTTTTAATTCCAGTGAGTGCAGTCATCTCAGTAAAGAAGAGTTTCTGGATGCCAGAAGCTGTTACACTTACAGGTAGGAGGCCAGTTGGTTGCAGTATGGAAATTAAGGAAGAGAAATCTCTGATGCTAAAGAGAAGATTAGAGTTTCAGTTACTTAACACATAACAAATAAGTATCCGAACCTGAACTAGGGACAGTTGACTCAAGCAGGAGATGATAATGCATATTCGAGTATGTGTGTTTCAAGTATCCCTTCGGATTCATCCACTGAGAGGACTATGGTCACTTTGACTTGGAGAGAGTTCCAAGGAGGGAAGACTCTTAAAGAGAAGATGCGGGCGCGTGCCTAGATGTTTACTGCTTGCTGTGCAATTTTTCAGCGGTTATATAAGAGGGGGTGGAGATGATTTTCCGGAAGGATGCTGGCGTCTAGGTGGCTCAAAGTATCCAATGTTTTGTAAACCATTTACAAATCACCTTTTATTCTCCCATAACTAATCCGCATAATTCCTAAAAGCTGGAGTCTATCTTCCTAAAATCTATTCCTCATCCCAGTCACCAACTTATTTTCACGTCTCTGAATTCGGTCTAAGAGATTTACAGCTCTTTTGAAAAGAATGAATGCAAGGAAGTTATGAACTTCAAAACGAGTCCTAGCGTACACTTCAGGAGAGTGAAGGGTCAACTGTAGGGTTCTTGCTTCAGATTCCTTCTCATGAGGTGTGTAGTTGAATTAGACTGGGATGCTCTATGTACGCAGTACTTGTTAATGTTAGGACCCTATGTGGTTAACAGTATGAGGTTATGCTCTGAAGAGACGATCAGTGATTGAAACTATTAATGACGTTTGTTACATGGGGTAGAATTTTCATGTCTCGAGATAACGACTCAGTCAGTACGTAAAATATACTTATACAATAATTAAAGTAAGTAACTAAAATCATTAATACAACAACCACTTCTCAACATTGTTTTCGCTGCCTTCTTAATGTTATATGCATTAGCTGATGATATAGTATCAGCTTCGAGTCTATTGATTCTTCAGAATACTTCTAATCTGTGGTCTGATTTTGCTATCACTAAAATTAAACCTTTCCATAAAATGGCATATAACAAAGCCCTGCAAACCTCCAATGTCCCATGATATTCAACAAGCCCAAGTTCTTCTCGTCTTTTTATCCAACAATGCAAACTTATTCTTGTGATATCTGTAGCGCCATTAGATGTGTTGTTTTTATCTTGCAGACAATTTTGTAATTATTTCCCGTAGTTAATTGTGATGTTTTCGAAGATGTACGTTTTCGACAAGTGTTCACCTCCATGTATACCTGCTGATCTGTTTGTTTTACTTAGTTCATACATGTGAAGACTTAGTAATAATTGACTTAATGGTTAGCAAGTCAAATCTACACGTCTGGGTTCCATTCGATGTTGGCTTATTCAACTTGACAGTCAACTAGCTTGCCTGATACATATGCTGAATTTTATTTTGTAAAAGACTTCCATTGTTAAGATACATCCAACAAAATAGACAAAGTAAAATACCAACTCAATAATTGATGGAGTCAAATGAATTTGTGGTTCTTTCACATAAAGTTCTGCTCCGTTGTGCGAAATCATCTGCTTTACATAAGACGTTATACAATAGCTACTGTATTAGGATTTAGCAAATCCAGGCTGTGCGTTTTGTATAATTTCCCAATGCAAGATAACGCTAGCAACTTAACGTGTATGAAAGCTCGGCAAAACAGAAATGGAGATATCTTTGAGTATTCAAAGAATATAAGGAACATAATTCCAGCCTATATGAACAGCTATATAATCTTGTCGATGGCGCAAATTAGCAGCCAGTGGCTCGTAAATTATTCCGTAAGGGAACAGTTGATGAGATCTTATAAGTCCGAATTTTGTATTACAATTTAAGCTGATGGCGCTGAGAGTTCTCTGAAAGGTTTGCGATTTTTACTACTTATTTTTTGCGGAACGTTTATTCTGCAAAAGTGGTTACGTTAAGTATCAAAACGTTAACTAGTGGATTTACTTCAAATTTGTTCCTGCTCATTAGGAGACTATTATGTCAATGTAAATAATTTTGAACGTGTGACGATGTTTTTTTAAAAACGATTCACAAAGTAAGTTTAACGTTTTGTCGTACTGCTTAACTTTGTCGATGTCTTATTCACACATGTCCACACAAGCCTAACTAAAGGGTGATACATAGTGAGTAGTAGTGAATGCAATTATTTTCATTATTTAAATTAGGCTGAAAACGATAAGATACTCCGAAAATGAGTACATGATTTTGCCACAGATTTTCTAGCAATCTTCCAGCTCTGAGTCAAACTAATGCAAAGTAACTATCTCCTCTATACTGAATGGAATTAAAAATAATAAACAAAGAACTTGAGGATATTATGAAGCTTCATAAACTGTAAAAACCGGCAAAAATTCAAGTAAGAACTTAAATTCTGCTAGTTTGTGCTGTCAACGAAACAGTCTTCAGGGAAATTACACGTTTCAATGCAGACAGCTCACGAAAGCATTCTCTCACTTCTAAGATATGTACATTAATAATTTGAATCATACGAAAAAACTAAGCATCACTGTAAAATCTTCAGTGCAGAGCGTTTGATAAATTTGATTACTTTTTGTTTTAAATTACTTATTTGTTGCATTAATTTGGCCTTAGGGTAAGCTCACTGTTTGACTGGTTTTTGATATCGTGTGTATGGTTTAGCACATAATATTCAACGCTTTGTGCGTTCTAGAAACTGTCATCTGATTACTTTCTGCGCCTACAATAACTTCTGGATAAACGCAGTATTATTTTTATTACCGGGATCAGTTAATGGATGCTTCATTGAGTTCCCGGTTCTTAAAAAGTTCGACAGGTGGTAGCAACTTTGTATGTATTTCAATGTAGAAAACTGAATCCTAATGTTTTTCTTACTGTATATTTTATCATCAACTTTTTGACTTGTCCTCTCTTTTTTGAGTTGCGAATGTATTTGCATTCGTTTTGTACACTGTTTCCTTAACATGGTTTCCGACCCTCCCTAATTTTAGGACATTTTGGACAGACGTGATTGTTCACGTCAACATGTTCTAAGCCGCAGGTGGAGGTAAACTAACTCGGTCTAATGAGGTACTTATGTGAAGTTCTACTTTGCCGAGTTTCAAGATTTCCATAAAATCGTTTAAACCACTTCTGATGAGTCTACTTAATAGTTACCATTGTCTATTAAAGTTAGTCATTTTACAGTTGCTTGGTAATTTATCGGTCAGCTGCTTGTGAAGAGCGCAATATCATTCAAAACCCAATGCATATTCACGTGTTTATGTACATAATAGCTGGGATTATTTGGCTTGCCCTAATCGTTGTTTTTTCGAAAGCAAGTCAAAAGTTTTTGGTTTTTTAACCTCGGCCGACAATTCGGTTCTAGAATGACTGACAACTCTAGTTTTTATGACCAGTTTTCTTATAGTTGACCTTTTGAAGACCATACTATCCACTCAGTAATCCGTTTCTGTTAGCTTAAATATGGCAAGGCAACGTTTAATCAGAGAATGTTAAGTTCACTTTTTGATTGAATCAAAGTAAACGTTTGTATAGTCTCGTGCAGATTGGAGAAACCAAAATGTCCATTGATATTATCCTTGTTTTTACACTCGTTGGGGACAGCAAGTGGATACTCCTAAACATTGTGGGATACACTTCCCACAAACTGAATAGTTTTGTTCTGAAGGCCAGTAAGTAAGCTAAACGAATCACAGTAACGATACTTCCCGATGTTGACATTTGTGACTGTTTATGTTATTTTATCATTTAAAACTAATTGTTTCTGACAAATACCAACTCTATTCATAAGTTAATGGCTGTTTAAATAGCATATTAAAAGAAAACCATATTTCGGAATTCAGACACATTTATGTTTCTAGTGATAAATAATGTGATTCATATATTAGTGTATATACGTTAAAATTGTATGGAGCACTGCAAGGCAACTTGAATGATTCCTAATAACCCTTGGAATGTTTATCATTTCGCCAAAGCCCTGATAAAATAATTATACAGGACGTTAAAACAAAAGGGCATAGTAGATTAAAACAGTAATTCAAACACGGTCTTCGCTAATATGTCACTTCCCTGAAGAGTTTATTGGAACTTGTTTTTCAGTTGGCAGTTAGGTGTGATGTTTTTTCACTGTTACTGTTATTTAGCTCTTTACAGTGACAAATACTAAAGTTTGAATAACTCATCATGCTTTTTACTGCAATTATAACTTTCTCTTGTTGACTTGGAATACAATTACAACTTAAACTTTATTAAATATTTTAAGTACAGGTGGTGTTTCAGATATATTTTTCATTTCTCGAATGTAAATTGATATAAAATGATCAGTATATATATGCCCATTATTCAGTAATATGAAAAAAACCCTTTGTAAACTAGAATCTAGCATTGTTATGTGTTTTAATAAGTGTACTACCACTGCATTAGGGAACAGGAGTTAGTTTTTAAGACCTAGTATGCCTTGAACTTTGTATCTGTATCCCATTTAGTTTATGCGCAACAAATTAACTTTTGACTTTCGCATTTCAGAAGAAAAAAATGGGTAGGTTCCTAATTATACGAGCAAATTTAATCGGAGAATTTACTCGTAGTATTTAGGAGCTTTAACAGGTGACCCTTCCAGATTTTTTATGGTAAGTTGAATGTTATACAATTTCGATTATATCTTTTGTACATTCAACTTAATATCTAAAACAAAGTGTTATGCTTTTAGTAGAAAGACTAACATCCTTAAACCAGGCCAAAGATATACTAAAAAGCATATCACTTAGTTATCGTATTCAATATGGCTGCTATATGTGCTTCCAAAATTTCCTCCGAAAATTTTATATTAATTCTAAACATTGAACAATAACCATCTTTTTTCAAATAATATAGTCCCCTAACATGTTGGCTGGGTGTAGTATGGTTTATAGTATGGGTTAAATGATTAATATTCTAAATATTACAAATGAAAACATTTGTAAACTGTTTTATTTATTGCTAAAGAAAAAAGGCAAGCGTATTATTTGGCAAATCTAACTGAATGTTAAACGCACCAGTAGCGGAAAATGCCTTACTGATACCTTAAATCTCAATACATCCGTTAGTGTGATGATTGACTTCTCAACATTTTCTTCCAATACATAACTTACCTCTGCTGTTTTACGAAACTGTGATATTACTGCCAAAACCAAGATAAACTAAAACTTTGAGTAATAATTTTAGGTGGTTTGTTCACCGTAAGAATCTAAGATGAAAGCTGCATGTCACCTACTAAGCTACATTACCTATGAACATCTCATCTAGCACGGCCAAACGTATAGTGCGATATTAAATGAGAATTTATATCCCCTATGATACCGAAAGCCCTCAAAAATTTATTTTAAGTAATTTAACTTAATAGTTGTTTGTAAATTAAAGTTTTCCCTCAAATGAAACTTCGTTATATCTAATCCTGTGTTAATAGTGCTTTATAACCCGCTTTCAAGAGTTGCATACCTTTTCTGGGTTGCCTTATTTCTTTCTGTTTCAGTGTGTTTTGAATTTTTATGCATCTATCTTCTTGCTAGGTCATGGAATTTCAGTATTTATAAGGTTAAACTGTGATTAGCTGATAGTTTCTAGTAAAATCAATTTATGATCTTTAATTTGTATTGTTTAGTTCTTTATAAATAGGCCTAGTCCATATTTCGATTGTCTGTGATATTCACATATGTCATTTTCATGTTAATGCCAATCACTTTGTGGCGCTATAAATAAGGAGTAAAAGTACCTATCGGGATTTCTCGAAGTAGATTTGATCTTGAAAGTTACTCACTTATCATACTCTAAATGTTGCTTACGGAATTACATTGTGCAATGTATTTGTTAGAATAATATATATATTACTTGTATAAATGAAAACGATGTTTTTTATTTTATTTTCATTTTAGAGTATTTGATCAAAATGAAATTGGATATCATACTAATCATAGTTTTCCTCAAACTTTTACCAATCTATTGTAATCCTACGGAGCCTCTAATATATGGCATTCTCCCAGATATTTATAATTCAATCATTGATAACATTATTGTACTTCCTTCTAATAAACCTGTTCATCTTAGTATGTTCGGTTTAAAAATGGATTATATTAGTCATATTGCTTTTGCTTCAATTAAAAAACCATATAATTCATCATGTGAACATGAACGTGTCACTAGTTCATTCGATGCTATACCAGAAAATTCTTTTGTCAGTACTAGTGTAATTAGTTTACGTGAATTATCCAGTAATGAATTGGCTTTTTTCCTATGTATTCGTGTTACTTCTACTTCATTATCAATATCTGATTCTGTGAAAAATTATACTCATATTGATGGTAAATGGCTTTATGCTGGTGATGGTAATGGAGTGAACACTATGTCAGATTATCGTTTATCATTTCGGACTACAAGTACTCTTATGCCTTTATGGGTTCAAATCATACTTATTATATTATTATTTTTCCTTTCTGGTTTATTCAGTGGTTTAAATTTAGGATTAATGTCTCTTGATAAAACTGAATTGAAAATTATTGAAAGTGCTGGTTCACATAAAGAGAAAAGTTATGCCAAAGCTATTCGACCTGTACGAGAAAAAGGAAATTTATTGCTATGTACACTTTTATTAGGTAATGTACTTGTCAATACATCGTTAACAATTTTAATGGATGATTTAACTGGTAGTGGTTTATTTGCTGTTATTGGATCTACCATTGGTATAACATTATTGGGTGAAATTATGCCACAAGCTGTATGCTCACGTAATGGATTAGCTATTGGTGCTAAAACACTTTGGCTGACAAAATTATTTATGTTAATTACATTTCCTATTGCATTCCCTATAAGTTTTTTATTGGATAAAATATTGGGTGAAGAAATTGGTCAAGTTTATAGTAGAGAAAAACTTGGAGTACTTATACGTGAACAAGTAAGTTGTTCAATATTATGATGGTGTTTTTTTTTAATGAATATATATAGTAATGTATATATTTATATATAATATGCGGACTAGAGTTACAAAACCTGAACTTTGCAAAATTTGGACTTCACCAACCTTATCCTCTTCAAACTACTCCCCGTTTCGGACAGAAAATGTACTGGTAATCTTCAAAAACTTAAAGTGCACAGCTACCACGTTGTCTTCATATTGTTCAAATGTCTTAATTAAATAAGGATTTCGCGTTAAGATGCCAAAATAAATCTCAAAGAACTAAGTATGGTTAGCAAAAAGAGTGTTCTATCACGGTTATGGAATTATCAACCAGCAAGTCCAGTGCAGATTCATCCTCATGATACAACAATCATTCATCAGCATTAGGCAACTTTAATAACACTTGAACTAATGTGTTATCTCAGTAAGCAGCCCTCAGTAAACCCTGGGCCTACATCACCCACCGGTTCTCAGTCGTTGGCAAGTCATACCTCCAGTCTTGGGATAAACTGGTGTTACATAGTGAATTCAAATGCTAGTCACCTAGCTTCATAATCTGAGACGTTATAACAGCAGTTTGACGCACGAATTGCCTTCTGTATGGCCGTGTTTACAGTTGGTTGATCACTGAGCAATTCTATGAACCAACACTATGTTTTCAGCTGACTTCTTTTACCCACTTATCGTCTTGACATATCACTCACGGCAAGGAGTCACGTAAACTTATTGCCATATTGCAACTTAGTCTATAGAATCCGATTAACACTAAAGGACTTGACATGAAATTCTTCACTACTCAGTAATCAGTCAACTACAAATTTCATGGATTTATTAAGGACTTTTGTGAAATTTCATTTTAAACTTGATAGATCAGTTTGAGAGCATTTATTAGAAAACTTGTATGTATTTACCGAAGTTCTTATGAAAAAAATTTCAAGTCGAATAACTCAGCAGTGATATAATAACTGACTGAAGTTAAGGATATGCATCACTAAACTACAAACTTTATGGTTTAGATAAATCATAGTTTTATAGATAGTTTGAAGGTTTCTTGGCTTTTATCCCATATGTGAATTTCTAATTAACTTAACATAACTATCAAATTATCCTTCATTTTTATTGGTTGTCTAGTTGATTTCAATTACCAATGAGAATTACTATCAGATTGTACAAAATCTTATTCTGTTATCCATCAAAAGTCCCCAAATATTAAGACTGAATAGTATTATGTATGTGTTATGAAAAGTTATCAGGAATATACAGTTTCAATTATGTTTTGAGTACTGACTTTTTATTTGTTATTAATGCATTTAAGGAGTTATAAAAAGGTTGTTTATCATGAATAAGTAGAACAGTTTAGATAGCCACTCACTTGTACAACAAGTATAAATGGATTTGAATTCCAAATTGAACATGAACTGTGATATACGTAGGTATATGTAGCTGACGTTGTCGTGAGTATGTACTGTTGACTATCATAGTTAAACGAAACACGTATTCGATGTTTCCTGGCTCGTACTAATGTAACAAACGAGATCAGTCTGTGACGAATACTGTTCTCAAAAATATATCTGTTGATTGGAGGCAAAAAAAATTTACACATTCTACAGCTCACAACAGAGCTAGACAACCTCTGTCAATCACTGAGTCCGAAGCGTGAATCCTGCTCCATATATATCAGCCTGTACAGTTTTCTAAATTGAATATCTTAACTAATACTCCTGTTACTCACAATTCAACATATTTAAGTCAAAAGAATTCACTGGTATCTTAAAAATCATTTATTGTTCGGCAGCGTTTACTCCTACAGTCTTACACTCTTCAATGTAGGTCATATTTTATACTCAATACAACTTATGCCTATCAGTTTTTATATGTTGATGAACGAAAATTACTTACGGTATTATTCACCACGACACATCGTTATTATATTTATATCTAAACATTAATCGAATTATTTTAGTGCTATGGAGATTGTTTCATTAGAAAATAAGTTAAAACCATGAACTGACTTTAGCTTGAAAAAAACCCATTAAAAATCGATATGTAAGCTTTGGTCACCTGTTTAGTCCTTATCAGCAGTTCACACCAAAGACCCCTTTCAAAGATCGAAATCAGCTCAGCAAAGACGTTACCTTTAGACCACTTAGTTGACAAGAAATAATGTTATCTTCCAAATTTCGAAAGCTTGAAGTTTGGAAACATAGGCCATTGGATCCCCGTTGATCATCTAAAAATATATTTCTTAATATATCAGGATTCTTTATGGTACTTATTTAAAAAAGTTTTCTATGGATGTTGGGTTGTGTTTGCCCATAGTAGTTCAAATCATAAACTATTGGATGTTTGCTTTTCCTTTATTTTGACATTTATCGAATAGTTTTTTTCTATCATTTTGAAGTGTCAGTCTTTGAAAAATAAAGAATACAAAGCTTAAAATCAAATATTATTCAGTGAAACCTCCATTTAGACATCTTGTTAATTAATATCCACATATTTATCAGTAATAAATTCTCTAAAATTCTTGTATCATCCAGCTCATTGGCACTATTACATAGAATTGATCGGGCGTTATAAAAAATTGAATGGGACCGAAAAGAATAGATCATTTTGACCCCGCCCATGGTTTGAAGATATCATCCTCATTGTGTCTCCTAAAAGTTCTTTATTGTGTATTATCAGTGACTGGTAGCTCTGATCTGAATAAGAACAGCTGTTCAATACTCTTCAGTTTCTCACTGATACCAGTCCGTAATGAGAACTATATTTGAATGCTGTACAAAATCTCGAAACAATTATCTCGATGAGTAAAAAGTTATGGTGACTGACGAAATCTCAGCTCGGATACAGAAGGCTCGATTGGCTTTTGCCAACCTGCGTCACTTATGGCGTAGGCGAGATGTCCGTTTGCTGACTAAAGGACGAGTGTACTGCGCAGTAATTCTCTCTGTCTTACTTTAAGGCTGTGAAACATGGCCAGTGAGAGTAGAAAATATTCGTAGGTTACTGGTTTTCGATCATAGGTGTCTTCGAAGCATTACTCGTATATCGTGGGACACCCGAGTGCGCAACGCTGTCGTTAGGAAACGAGTTCTAGGTAAGAATGGCAGATCAATAGATGAAGTATTGAAACTTCATCAGTTGAGGTGGTTGGGACATGTGTTGCGTATGCCTAACCGCCGACTGCTTCGACGAGCTTTGTTTGGTAGTGTAGGAATAGGTTGGAAGAAAGCTAGGGGTGGCCAAACCAAAACATGGCAGAAATCCATGAAGTCATTGACTAGTGGACTTAGTCATGTCGGTAATTGTCGACTACCTGGTTGGGGTCCGCGAGATGATAATAATCGATGGTTAGAGACCTTGAATGACATGGCCCAAAATCGTTTGCAATGGCGCCGGTGCATTTATTCTTTGTGTTCTCTCGAATCCTAATCTTCTGGATTCTTCAACACCTCTAGTTTTGACTTTCTAAACTTTTCTCACTGAATCATACTTCTTGAATAATATCTTCTAATCCTAACCTCTCCGATTACTTCTAATACTTTTACAACCTCTTCTACTATTGGATTTGAATTGACAATTACATCTCTGTGCTGATTTGGTATGGCAACATGAACTGATGTACTTACGTACGAAGTTCTATGTTGCATCTGACTAACTGACTGAATTATAAACAATTTACACGTACCGGTATTTGATTAATTGTATGTGAACAAAGATGGTGCTGATAAGCTTAATTTTAAAATGAAATTAAGTTCAAGTTGAAATCAAACTACAGAATTCCAACTACCACAGTAATCGAGTACAGTTTCATGAAATATGGACTTTAGTTAGCTTTTCATGTTCACATTAAGACTGTACCCTAGTGACTTCCACTTTCAAGCACCAACAGTTTATTCGCTCAGCTATTGAGTTCAGCTAGCCACTGTTTCACGCTTATGACATTGTATATATAAGTCGAAATAAAGCGAAATATTCTTTTTTCTATTCTACTGCCACCGGCAGTGTATCTTCGCTTGAACAAACAAAGACACTATCAATGCAATCCATTCATGATGCACATATTTCCGATAGAGATCGATCAAATAGAGCCATTGCTATCAAAAACAGATAACCTCAAACTGTCACGTGCATAAATCAAACAGAATACTCAAACAAATAACAATAACAATACTATTAATAATAACAATATCTTGTTCACTCTGGTTCAAATCTCGTCATCATTCTCCATAAAAACACGTTATCCCTTCATGTGTATTGTTTTTGATCCTCATTTCCTCATCATTGCTTTTTCTCTCTCTCTTTGATTAATTTACAGGCATTAGCTGGAACAGTTGCTACAGATGAAATGAATATTATTACTGGTGCATTAGCTTTAACTACAAAAACTGTAGCTGATGTAATGACACCATTATCTGATGCATTCATGTTATCTTATTCAGCAATATTAGATTTTCATACAATGAATGAAATTTTCTCAAATGGTTATACACGTATACCAGTTTATGAAAATAATCGACAAAATATCCGTTCTGTATTAAATGTAAAAGATTTAGCATTCATTAATACAGATGATAAAGTTCCATTATCAACTGTATGTGATTTTTATGATCGTCCAATTATTATTGTATTGGATACAACTAATTTAGAAATGATGTTAAAAGAATTTCGTCAAGGTCAGTTGCCGTTTCTATTGTATTTATTGTTTTAGATATATATATGTATATATTTTTTTGGCATTGTTTTAAATTTATCTACAAAAATTGATTTGTTAAGACTTATGATAGATCTATCTTTTTTATGACTGAATAATATTGATTCACTTGTGAAACAGGATCGTCAAAATTGTTGAGTTACATGCCTTTACATTACAAATCGATCTTAGACAAATTTTGAAAACCTGAGGCCACTGAACAATTGTTTGGTCCTAGTATGAGCCCCCCCCCCCAAACATTACGTAAAATAACTTTAGGCTTTAATTTTTTACCTCAAACACTACTCAGTCAGTCAGTCAGATGCAACGTAGAACTTCGTACGTAAGTACAGCAGTTCGTGTTGCCAAATCCAATAGTAGTAGAGGTAGTAAAGGTATTAGAAGCAATCGGTGAGGTTAGGATTAGAAGATATTATTCAAGAAGTATGATTCAGTGACAAGTTTAGAAAGATGAAACTAGAGGTGTTGAAGAATCCAGTGCAAACGGTTTTGAGCCATGTCATTCAGCGTCTCTAACCATCGATTATTATCATCTCGCGGACCCCAACCAGGTAGTCTACATCTACCGACATGACTCAGTCCACTTGTCAGTGACTTCATGGATTTGTGCCATGTTTTGGTCTGGCCACCCCTAGCTTTCTTCCAACCTATTCCTACACTACCAAACAAAGCTCGTCGAAGCAGTAGGTGGTTAGGCATACGCAGCACATGTCTCAACCACCTCAACTGATGAAGTTTCACTACTTCATCTATTGATCTGCCATCCTTACCTAGAACTCGTTTCCTAACGACAGCACTACCTATACGGTTGTCCCAGGATATACGATGACCCGGAGCCACCTATCATCGGAAACAAGCAACCTACGAATAACTTCTACTCTGGCTATCCATATTCCACAGCACTAGGTCGGACGGAGTGAACTACTGCACAGTACACTCGTCCTTTAGTCAGCAAACGGATATCTCGCCTACGCCATAAGTGACGCAGGTTGGCGAAAGCCAATCGAGCCTTCTGTATCCGAGCTGAGATACAATCACTACTATAAATTTATTTTGATCAATTTTGTTTACCATACAATCATGTATTTGTGAGAGCGAGTAGTTATACTGCATGGTTAGAGACCTTGAACGACATGCCTCAAAATCGCTTGCAATGACGCAAGTGCATCAACTCGTTGTGCTCTCTCAAATCCTAATCTTCTAGATTCGTCAGCACCTATACCTTTGTCTTTCTAACCTTATCTCACTGAATTATACTTCTTGAATAATATCTTCGAACCCTAGTCTTCTTTATTAACATTAATACCTCTACTATCTTTATCACTGTGGGATTTGATTTGACATTTACGTCTCTGTGCTGTCGTATTATGGCAACATGAACTTATGTACATACGTATGAAGTTCTACGTTGCAACTGACTGACTGATACTGCATTTCTATCAAAACCAATCGACATTGAAACAAAGTTCAAACTCGTGACCGAACCCCTAAGTCACTACTCCATGCAGTCACAAATACTTTACAGCTTGGAAATGTATATGTCGTCTCCGTGTTGTAGGATAAATTAAATTATTTAAGGGTGATATATGGTAAGCCCAAAGTATACTGCCAAGCCAATCAGAATGGAGAAAGCGCCTAAATATCAACCTAGCGTGATGCTTATCCAATGAAGTCGATGAATATCAACCGTAATATAGTTAATTTCTATCAGCAAACTGGTCGATTACGTAGAATAACATTATAACAATTAAAATCTACAGTTAAGATTAAAGTAGACTAATCACATACTCTACATTCTAGTCTTAAATCCAAACTCTGAACTCCAATCATAACCTTAAACTGTAACACATAAAAACCTACGATAAACTTAGTCAAGTACAGTCTGTAAAAAAACAATAGATTCGTTTTAAACCTTCGCATTTTCTACTATAATTTGTCCGTTCATGCATTCATATTTGCTACTTTGTGATTGGCTAAAACAGGTGATGACCTAAATTCCATTTGGCAGCATTCTTTAGACTTACTGTAACATATTTAAAAAATGTTTATTTGTTTATTACTTAATTTGATCAACAATTTTTTGTGTGAAAATGATCAATCGGAAATTTAATTTTCATTCTAAAGAAAAATGATATACAAGTTAAAATAGTTTATTCTTTAATATTTCTGTATAATTAATGTGTGAACAAATCAGGAACGTGGATACAATATTGACTTTTTGTATAAAATTAAGTCCATATGATATATAATTATAATCTATCTTGTGAATGATGATTCAATTAGGATAGCTAACTAATATATATACTCTGTCCTGGGCCTGCTTTTCCAGTTCTATCCAATTGGGAGTCATTCTTCTCATCTCTATCTGTATTTCTCGGCGTAGTGTGTGTTTTGGTCTTCCTCTTTTCCTTTGACCTTGAGGACTCCAAGTGAGGGCTTGTCTTGTGACGTAGTTCGATGCTTTTCTCAATAGATATCCAATCCACTTTCTGCGCTGGAATCTCATAGTAGTTTGTTGCTGTTGGTGTCTGGTTAACGGATCCGAAATATTTTGCATAGACAACTGTTAATAAACAATTGTATCTTATGGATGATGGCTTTTATAATTTTCAAGTTTGCACTTCATACAGTAGAATTGTTTTGACATTTGTATTTTAAAAATTTTATATACATATTACTGAGATTACTTCTCTTTGAAAATGGAGTACACCTGGCTGATAATCGTTAACAATGAAGCAAATCCCTTTTATTCTTTATCTTCCTTTAAGGTTTGATTTTGACCAATTTGGTCTCGTGTGCTGTGACGGGTATGATGGCGGTTGTCACTTCCCGGCTGCCCACACCGTGGAAGGTTGTTTCTTGAAGGACCTGAAAAGGAAGGTACATTAGTGTTGGTCTTGGAGACCTGGGTGCGTGACCGCAGAGCTCAGGGGACAACTGCTTGAGGCCGGTCACGCACGGCCTTTTGATGAGAGGTTTTTTTAGTATTAGCTCCTCTCTTAAAAGTCCTTAGTGGGCACCCTTACCGCCGGAGACGGAAATTCGTGAGGTAGGGTGAGGTGTGACATTTTTATGGTCGACCTTTTCTAACACTTCCTTCCTTGTGAGAAGGCAGCATCACTGCAGATGCTGGTTGTCCGAGGGAAACACCTTACTGCTGTCACACCCATCTGCAGTGAGCAGTACGACTTCACCCTCAGACCTTGAGTAGCTGTTCTGAGTCTCGTCGTTCTCCAATCGACCTGCCTGGCATGGTAGAACCTTCAGGAACATAAGTTCCAGCCAATATAGGTTGGTTGGGTCATAACGATAGGCAAGCCCGATCACGACGTCAAGGTGGCAGCTTCGGTCGTCTGTGCTGACGTGGTATGGCAACCTGAACTGATGTACTTATGTACGAAGTTCTGTGTTGTATTTGTCTGTCTGTCCTTTAAAGTTTAACTTTCTCTGTCCAACAAATCCATTTATTCTTTTTATGATCATATTTTCTTTTATATCTGATATCTTCTACTACTATTGATACTTGCACTATTGCTATTAATCTGATATTCATTTTGATAATTTCATTTTGGTATGGTAATGTAGAATGTTACAACTTGATGTACCAGGTTGTGCATTTCTTTTGTTTGATTGAATAACTTGCCACAATGTCACTGTCATTCAGCTACAACGTAGAAATTCGTACGTACGTACATTATTTCAAGTTGCTAGACAACATTAGCACAGAGACTCAATGGTCAATTTAAATCCCATAGTAGTAGATATAGTAGAAGTATTACTGGTAATCTGAAAGATTAGGGATCGAAGATAACATTCGAGAAATATATCTCAGAGAAACTAATTTTTTAAAAAAAGAGAAAAAAAGGTCATGAGGGATTCAGAAGATTAATATTTGAGAGAAAACAAGGAATTGATACACCTACACCATTGCAAACAATTTCAAGCCATGTCATTCACAGTCTCTAACCACCAGCTACGATTATCGCGCAAATCCTAACCTGGTAGTCTACATCTGCCAATATGACTCAGTCTAATTGTCAGTGACTTCATGGATTTATGCCGCGTTTTGATTAGGCCGCCGTTACCTTTCTTCCAACCTACTCCTGCACCACAAAACATCGCTCGTTGAGGCAGTCGGTGGTTAGGCATACGTACCACACGTCCCAACCATTTCAAATGATGAAGTTTCATTACTCCATCTATTGATCTTCCATCCTTACTTAATACTTGTTTCCTGACGACAGCATTGCTTACTCTGCTGTCCCAGGATATACGAGAAATTCTTCGAAGACATCCATAATCGAATAGTGATAACCTACGAATGTCTTCTACTCTTAACGGACATGTTTCGCCGCCATAAAATAAGACATGGCTAACTGCTGCGCAGTACCCTCGTCCTTTAGTCAGCAAACGGATATCTCGCCCTAGTTAAGCGTCGAAGTATTATTGAAGCCAGTATCTTAGACACTATATCAGTCAAACTGATCCCTCTGTGATTGTCACAAGAGAACTTTTGTAATCTCTTATATACTGAGACATTCAGTAATTGAGATCAGTTGGATGGGATTACATCCAGTTCCCAGATTTCACCTAAGAACTCAGCCAATGTAACTGCTAAAACCGGACCACATCCTTGAAAATCTCAGGGGTAAGCCTGTCAGGGCCTAATGAGCTCCCTCGCTTTAGATTTCCTAAAGCTTTTTTAACTTCAAAAAGAGTTGGAGAACCTCAGGTCGACTGGAGATCGTGGGTAACCGAAGTATGGATGAAGGCCACTTGAACTGTGCTCCCTAAAGTGTTCTGCCCATCGATGTCGCTGAAAAAATAATAACTATTTCTTCCTCATAAGTTGTTATTTCATTTCATTCTATTGTAATGTTGTATTGTGAACTTGAATATTGTAATAGATGAGGTACTTTTCTCAGGAAAAAAATGAAGATTCCTACGCTGAATGGTCCTATTCTTTTTAAAATGGTGCTTACTTTGAGTACATTTTTAATTATGTTGTTAGTTTTATTTAAATAAATAGACAGACAGATACAACGCAGAACTTCGTACGTAAGTACATCAGTTCAGGTTTCCATACCACATCAGCACAGAGACGCGACTGTCAGTTCAAATCCAAGAGTGATAGCGATAGTAGAAGTATTAGCAATAATGGAGAAGATTAGGGAGCGAAGATATGATTCGAGAAGTATAATTCAGTGAGATAAATTTAGAAGGAGAAAGATAGAGATTATGAGGAATTCAGAAGATTGGATGCACCTGCGCCATTGGAAACGATTCTGAGCCATGTAGTTCAAGGTCTCTAATCATCGATTACTAACATTTCGCGGACCCCAACCAGGTAGCCTACATCTACAAACATGTTTCAGTCCACTTGTCAGTGACTTCATGGATTTGTGCCATGTTTTGTTTTGGCCGCCCCTAGCATCCTTCCAACCTACTCCTACCCTGAAAAACATAGCTCGTCGAGGCAGTCAGTGGTTAGGCATACGTAACACATGTCCCAACCACCTCAAGTGATGAAATTTCACTACTTCATCTATTGATTTGCCATCCCTACCTAGTGCTCGTTTCCTAACGACAGCATTTCTTACTTGGTTGCCCCAGGATACACGAGCAATGCTCCGGAGACGTCGATGATCGAAGACTAGTAACCTACGAAAGTCCTCTACTCTTAACGGCCAAGTTTCGCATCCGTATAGTAGGACGGAGCGAACTGCTGAACAGTACACTCTTCCTTTGGTTAGCAAGCAGATATCTCGAATATCTTTAAAGAATTTATTTAATTATTATTTAAATAAATTCTTTAAAGTTTATAAAATGTAATACTTGATTGTATTATGATAGTACTGTCAAACATTTATACCACCTAATTGACAATTTCATAACTATAACATAAAATTATCTAACCCAATGATATTAATTCAATCATATCAACATCGAAAGTGGTTATGTTTTTTGCTTGTTGATTTTTATTTCAAGTTATTTGATTCTAATCGTTTATGAACAAATAATTTCCCATGGTGTATATGTTTGCCACTCATTCACATACTTATCATTTAACTAGGATATTTTGTTTGCAAAGCTTACTGCAACAATATCAGTATTTTATGTATTGAGAGAGAATTATCTTTATAATCTGTCAAAAAATACATTTCACATTAAATACTACTGCATTGTTAGAATAAGATGAATAACGAAAGTGAGTCATACCACCAAATATCACAAGTTTGTATGGTGAAAGTATGAGATAGGGATGAGTTTGAATATTGATTGATTCTTCGAATGGCCATGTGATTTCAAAGGCACTTTTCAGCCAATTAGCATTGATTATGTATAAATCAAAAGTATTTCTCATGACCAAAATGAAACTTGTTCAAGTTTAATGGCTTCAAGAAGTTAATTGATTTTTCAAGTTTCTATAACAGTTTCCCTATCGTAGCATTGTAAAAGTACCGTTAGATAAACTCATTAACAACCTGAGTACAAATTTGTTTTTACTTAAGGTTATCTTTCACACCCGTAAAGTTTTGTAGGGAATTTATCATTACTAAACAGCTACGAAGATAACATTATGGAAGCACCTTCTTTGGGAAAAGGACTTTTCCCAATGATTTTAAGCCTTTTGAGCACTATACAAAGTTATATCTCAGTAGTGAGCGTCCACAACCTTGAATTCAGGAATCAAACGTAGGATTTCTAGTTCCGCGCTGTCGCTAATTTCCTAGCCCTTCAAGCCATCATTGGGTAATGCACCAGTCTAACGTCGATCAATTAGCGATATTAAGCGACCATGTTCGATTGCCTGTGGTGGGTGGACAACTATCTCACACCAGACATGGTTGAATCTCATTGGTTACAGTTTTCACATTTTCAGTGTTGGTTTCAATAAGATCAGTTTGTAATTTTAAGATCTGTCGAAATTCTATTATCTCGACAAAACCCTATGATGATATAATTATTTTCAATGTAATGAATTTGTCTTAACAGCTTGTAAGTAGTTTTTATTCAATTCTGACTAACTTCATCAGTTGAGGTGGTTGGGACACGTGTTGCGTATGCCTAACCACCGACTGCCTCGTCGAGCTTTGTTTTGTAGTGTAGGAATAGGTTGGAAGAAAGCTAGGGGCGGCCAGACCAAAACATGGCATAAATCCATGAAGTCATTGACGAGTGGACTTAGCCATGTCGGTAATTGTCGACTTCCTGGTTGGGGTCCGCGAGATGATAATAATCGATGGTTAGAGACCTTGTATGACATGGCTCAAAATCGTTCGCAATGGCTCGGGTGCATTTATTCTTTGTGTTCTCTCAAATCCTAATCTTCTGGATTCTTCAACACTTCTAGTTTCGTCTTTCTAAAATTGTCACTGAATTATACTTCTTGAATATTATCTTCTAATTCTAACCTCTCCAGTTACTTCTAATACCTTTACTACCTCTTCTACTATTGGATTTGAATTGACAATTACATCTCTGTGCTGATGTGGTATGGCGACATGAACTGATGTACTTACGTACGAAGTTCTACGTTGCAACTGACTGACTGACTGACTGTCCATACACCATACTTTTACTAATCAACATAGCTGATGAAATTTGCAATTGGTAGTTTCTAGTCTTAAAAATGTGAAAAAAAAATAAACACATCAACTATTCTGATGGGGTTTCGTTCGACTTTTATTCTTAGTTTTTGAGTTGTTTTTTATTTTGGCAGATTTATTTGGCATGAGGAAATACCATTCATTACGTAGTTAACGTGCATAATTAAATTAGCTTGAATAAACAACACTTGAAAATTAGAACGATTTACTGCATAGTTAGTTATAAAACGAAATACATTAGAAGTTTGAACAGGATATCCGTTTTACCGAATATATCAGTTTTTAGGGCAAAGGATATCCTAGGGTATTTTTCATAATCACTCGTTTGGATGAGATTAATTCAAATCGACTGGAGTAGATCATTGAACTACAAATTCATGTTTTTGTTTCATTTCGAAGGATTATGGTGATTATTTAATTTGATATGTGTATCTTTGACTATTGACTTTAGTTAGATCAAGGAGTACTGGACAGATGTTTTTTTCCTAGCATGGGACTCCTCGGCAATGAGTACTCATGATCCCGATAGGCATCGGACCCAGAATCTCCAGGCCCAAGTGAACATAGTGTAACCATTCGTTTGTTCAAATCTAAACTCAGATCTTGGGTAACAAAATTTTCTCATGATTATCACTGATTCCTTATTTTCCATCTGTATTTTAATACCTTTTGACGCTGTCTTCTCCCTTTCTCACAACGATTACTATTGATTCTGGGTCCGATTCCCTTGAGCAAGGATCGGGGATGCTTAATGCTGAACGACCCTCCATACTAGGACAAAATGGCTGTCCAGTGCTTCCAAGTTTCTAGTGATGATCTAGCTAAGATTATAGTTCGTGATTTCAAATATGAAAATATTATTTATTAATTTAACTAAAATATTAATTAATTTTAGGAAGAGCTCATATGGCATTTGTTGAACGTCTAGTAACAGAAGGTGACTGTGATCCATATCGTGAAATGATTGGTCTAGTTACATTGGAAGATGTAATTGAAGAAATTATTCAAGCTGAAATAGTTGATGAGACTGATATTTTAAGTAAGTTTTATGATTTCATTATTTTGTTAATTATCCTACTTTGTTTGCATTACTTCTCTCTTCAGTAAGTATTTTTTTTGTGTGTGTGTTCGGCAAATCAAGTTCCTTCCAGTCAATTAGTTTTTATAGACTTAGTTTGATAATAACAATTATACTATCACAAATCAACTAAATTTTAGTAGCAATGACCGATACCATTCTACTAATCATTTACCACTTCGCTTCATTTGACTCTATTCAAAATAAAAGAAGTTGAAAAGGAGAACAAGATTTAATCAGAATAACTGCAGCAATTAAAGATTTAGTAGTAAAAACACAGGGTCTTTTATAAAGTTCACATATTCTCAATATGTTCAAAAAATGGATTCATCAACATATTTGAGTTTGAGCTAAAACCCTATCCATAATCATTATAACTGTATCATGTCAACACAACTGAGTGGTCGAAAACTGTCAGATTTAATAAATACATGAAGGTATCTCCACAGTTTGAATTCCACAAAGATTACAGATACATCTTTCTGACAAATACCAGTCAGTACAAATCTTTTGCTTAGCACAGACCTTTCTAATGATCACATCCCCAATCATTTAACGTCAAAACATAGTGCACGTAATGTTCAGAGTCATGCTACGACGTGATCAATGAAATTTGATCACCACCAAATAATACCCTCGAACCGTAATCTCTCCGATTACTGCTAATACTTTTACTACCTCTATTATTATAAGATTTGAATTGACAATTGCATCTCTATGCTAATGTGACATGGCAACTTGAACTGATGTACGTTCGTACGAAGTTCAACATTGCTGTTGATGATGATGATGATGACCACCAAATACGAGGCAAACATAACACCGACTACTAACACTGTGGTGTGCGCTACTTATAAGTAGTTTATGACGTGAGTGTCAACGTAATGTCTGGCAGCAGAAGATGGGGGAAGATCAAGAAAGGAAGAGTTAGATAGAACACAATGGAATTAGTATGAAACGCATGAATAGTGTGACAATGGATTGATGTTTTGCAACAGGAACAGTCCAGTTTGATATGATGAACTGATAATTTGCAAATGAACGATTTACGATATGGTTTCCGATTTTACTGAGTAACTCTGTAATTTTCGTTAAATCAATCCGGTTGCCCCACCTGTGTTCTCGTTGACTGCAATACTACTCAGTAATCGGTTAATGTATCCACAATCTTAGGTCGCTTTTGAAATAACACCAACATTCAAGTGTAATACAATAAGTTTACTTATTAGAGTTGCTTGTCCAATTGTGATCATAAGCAGATAAATTATATTTTAAATATATTAGTCTGATAATGTTTAACTAAAAACGCCAAGAGAGAGGAGACGTTGTAACACGTGTTCTCAGCAGTCACCGAACTGCGGATCAGATCTAAAATTAAATTTCAACACACAGAGTTAGCTTAACACTTCACACCAAGAGAGAACACGAAGTGGGGTAGCCACGGCACTCTTCTATTTGAAAATTAAAATACGCGGGGTTTTTACAGAAAATAGGGTAGGCAGTGTACCAAAGTCTTATGAGTCATCCTGTAAGTTCAGAGCACTTAGGGCTTGTTCTTCAACTTCCAAAGTGTTTTTTGTTTGATCGCCTTGAAATAGAAAAAAAAACCGCAACGGGTTAGCAACATCATACATGGTGAATTTGACTCCGTTACAACGTCGTGTTATTGTTTGTATCACCACTTTAGTACGAGCATAGACTTGATGACAAAAAAAGGAACACCATGTTTGTTTTTCGCCAACAATTTATTTTCTCATCAATCAATCATAACAAACTAATGTGACATGTTACACATCCATCTGGGTTTTTTGTTTTTAAACCTTGGAACTTAGAGTAAATAAAACATTTGAAATAGTAGCATACTATGTATGTATGTGGTAAATAACAATAAATTGTTTACCATTTTGCAAGTATGAAGAAAATATGTCGAAATTTAAACAATCTGTGATAGTTATTTATCTTATTTATTTTTCGGACAATAGTTACAAACTTTGTACATTGCGCACACATGACTCAATCTTTTAGTTAGGCTGGTGGTTGAAGTTGGACAAATCATTTCTTATCATATTGACACAAGGTTTGATCTCATCATGTACATAGTGACTTAATGAAGTTACTACAATTCATCTTTTATTAATAAAAATAACATTTAGTTAAGGGAGTTTTGTGGAGATTGATTGAAATTGTAGGTTACATTCGTCACAGACTAATCTTAGTTAGGATACCGTTGAAAATCATGAGAGTCCTTATCAGTGAGCATCCAAAACTCCGCTAAGGACCGAACTCAAGACCTCCAGGTCTTGTAGGAAACACTTAGTCATTATGATCATGGTGCTGAAGTCAATTAGTATGGTGTCAACTTCATCCAGTCTGAGATTTAACACAACTATCTTCCGATACCTCAGGTGATAGCTGTTTCATTTATGACGTGTTTGAACTCTACCAGTTACGACTTCTTACTAGAACTTCAGAAAGATCTTTAGGTTGGTTACTAATGATCTGGTTATCATAGTCCAGTTAAGGTGTTTTTTATAGAGCACAGACTGTTGAGAAGCCCCGTATTAGGATAAAATAGCCATGTTGTACCCCTTAGTGTGTAATAGTATCCAAACTCAAATCAATTTGTGACGAAATGTTTCTTAATTCTCATTGTTAACTGCTGATCACATCTGTTTGAAAACAAATTACTCAGATGAGAAAACCAGTCAATTAGTGACAAAAAGCATATACACATTAAATGTAAACATAAACCACATTGAACATCGAGAAAAATAAATGAAATTCGATGGACGATGAAAAACTACTTTATATAGAAATAAATAACTAAATTTTATTTCATTCTATTTATTTAATATACACATACACCAACACTCGCACTACTGCGAACTGGAGAAAATGTGCGTTACATGAATTAAGAGGTGAGATTGTGAAGAGATCGAAAAAGTAATATATTCGGATGGTTAAAAATAATTGAATAGTAATTTATTAATCTCCAAGTTCGCTGGTATGACTGAGGGCAGAGTGAGTGAACTCTCCGTCTCAAAGTAGCCTCATATAGACTCGTACATAACCAGACATGAGACTGAAAGTCCTAGTTTAAACCCACTACAGAAGTAGTAGATACTCTCAGGACTACACTGCAAGGTCGTGCGTGAAGGGGAGCTCACAAATACATTTTAAGTGAAGACTGGTGTCACATAGGTCTGCTTACTCTTGCCACTTCTCTTCTAGTGGTTGGTCGAGAAGGGAAAAACGGAATATAGTTAATAGCTTGGATGTAGCTAGATAATTTGGAATTTGCAGATGATCTGGTTCTTATATCTAATACACAGTAACATGCAAACATAGACGACCAGTGTTGCAGCAGCCTCTGCAAGCAGTAGGCTTCAAAATAAGGGATAAAGCAAGATCTTAATCATTACACAATGACCACCAACCAAATCACTCATAACGGAGAAGCTCTGAAGGATTTGGAAACTTATCCACACCTGGTCAGTATCATTCATAAACAAGGGGCATTTTGTTTGTCAATTCCGCTTCTAGTTAGGGTTGTTGTTTGCTATGTTTGTTTTGAACAGATAGACTGATATCATCACTGTAATTCCGAACGAAATCATAGTTACTAGTTTTCCTGAAAAAACAGATTAACCTAACCGACAACAAGTGAAAATTGTCACATTTTTAAACGTTATGAATGACATATCGTTTACCTACAGAATTCAAACTAGGAACAATTAAATAATGAAAAGAATGTCATTGTTTCAGTTAAAAAACGTTCTTTCGGATAATTACATCATATTTACGTGTAGTTACTTACTTGCCTCTCCCTGTTACTTCATATGGAGCATAGACCGCAGACCATTTATGAGCGTTCTTCTTGCAAGTTGGCTCTCTACGGGATATGATCGCTAACTCTATGCCTAATCCTTCTCCTTTATCCGGATTTCGTACCGGAAGGGCTTTAAGCGGAGTTCATTTACGTATAAGAATGAAATGATAATTTTCACTTGTAATCTTCAGTTGATAATTATTCACACTTATTACGTTGATGTGACACTGGCTTGAATTTAATTGGTGAAGTGATAATGTTAATGTGACATCAATCAAAATATAAAAAATCATGTCAAACTGTTAATTAATGCCGTTCCAAATAGTCTTATACTTAAAATAACTTATTTATTTACTAATTGTCATAGGTCAACTGTGTTTAACCTTAGATAGGTCAATTTGTTTAGGAAAAATTACTGAACACAAATCAATCAAAACATAATCTAAACGTCACTAATGCAAAAATTTATACTGATTATACCTGATCTTTTCTGTGCTATATATGTATGTGACGTGTACTAAGTAAAACAAAGTCATAACATATCTATTTGTTTTTCATGACCAGACTATGTTGAATGATAAAGAACTAAGCCGAATAAGTATTAAATCAATTTGTTATGAATGCCGTTGACAGAGTCACACTGCATTATCTTTGCACGTTCGTTGATAGTTGCATATCTTGACCGTAACACTCCATTACATAGGAGGTCACCCTCAGCGATCCTTGTAAAACAGACAAGGTAACTACTGATTGTACTGCGTCTTGACACATCTCACCTATTCACTAAAACCGTTTTCGATAATTGACGGTTGGAAAAAATTACAAATCTATACAAATTTTTGTATTAGAGTAAGTTTACATCAACCGTTCAGCGTTTTTGTATTTATTAGATATAGAAATAATTAGAACGTTTAAAACGAAATTTTTATATTAGTGACTTAATAGTTAAACACAGTAAAAGTACCCGTCAGCGAACACTGCGTATTATATACACACTAATGAGAAATTCGCAGATAACACATTGTTTATGGTAGGACTGTCGTCGCCGATGAAAGATTCCACAAGTATCCCTGGCAAAACATTATCTTGAAAGAAGACTAAGGTCCAGCTAATCAGCTCGGAAGTTTTTCTA